CCAAGAATCTCCCCTTCGAAGGTAATGCAAACAGCTATATATTTGATCAGGGGTTCAGACTTTGTGATTCCAACTCAGGCATGCTATGGTTTCTTGTGTTTTTCCATAAACCCAGCTATTCTATTGATTTCAGTGCTAAAAGTCATCATTCAACTACAGTCTACTTCCCTTCCCTTCTTAGCCCTTATTATAACCGTGTAAGCCCTAATTTCCATATTAAATTCTTTTTTCCTATGTTTGGAATGGTCCGAACTCAGGCTGACCCATCCCTAGGTCCACTGAGGAGTAGACATGACCTTGACAACTCAAGGAAATCCAACCATTTCTGATGTCTCTAGAGTCTGTTTCAGATTCTTTGCTGTACTGACTCTTCTGCAGGAGGAATTTCCCTTCCAGCCATCAGGAGAGGAGCATCTGGTCTCCATCTGTTGTTTGTCCTAAGATACAAACTATCATTTATAGTCCTCTTAACCATGCATTGCCACCAGTGAAGACCTCTAGCTAGTGCAACTATCTATGTTGTATCTTCAGCCTGACCCCAAACTGCCTCTTGCTTGTACTTTGCTTTGGCTCCCCTGGGAAGCATAGCTCAGAGGCCCACATTCTCCTGAATACACAAGCATTCCCGTAGTAGCTGTCATCTCTTCCCCCTCCTTGAACATTGAAAGGGTCATGAATATGGCAGCCAAGTCCAAGGTCCTCTCTAACATGCTGCTTTGTTTCCCCTGTCTGCTCCCCATGTAGAGAGAGGGAGTTTCTGGAAAGTTCTGGAAAGAATTTTCCTCTCCCTTACTCTGGAAAGAACTCTGCTTACTATCTTGCCATAGTTTTTATCCTTCTATGGTTTAGCACAAACATTCTAACCTCCTAGTCTTCCAGTCTGTGCCCTTCTATATTTTCAAAAACCAAGCTTTTAGAATTAAAACAAACAAGTAATACAATATAAACCCTTTGCTCCCTCTTAAGTGCTTGGCTATTACAATACAAGAAAAGAAATAGCAGCGCCTTTCACAGCTATTGTCCTTGCTATGTGTTTAAAAACTATTCAGAAAGTCAATAGACCATTTTAGGCTCTATCCATACTCCCCTAAGGCATTAAGCATTACTAACTCACTGGGTGCAGAGCCACAGGACAACATCAAAACATATAGGAATGAAAAACTTCAATTAGAATCTCAAAATACATCCCCTACTTGTAATTGTTAGCATACTCTAGCCATTTAGATCACCACAAAACCAGACCAGGGAGTGCAAATGGAAAATAAGTAATAACCCAAGATTCCATAGAATAATCTTTCCTGCTGTGAAAAAAACACGCCATTATGAGAACCAAATGGGCTTCAATAATTTCAGGCGAAAATTGATTCAATGGGATTTTAGTCCTGAAACATTCTTTTTTCTTTGAGTGAAAAAATAAAAAAAGGGGGAGAGAAAAAAAAATTCCTCAAATATCAAGGCGTGTCAACACGCTACCTCCAATGGAATAAAAATCAATCTGGCTTCAGACTTCTATTGAACGCTAAGTTCAAGAAAGCAATGGGACAACAAGTATTACTCTATATTAAGTTACAACTATAGGAGACTATTGTTCGGGACTAAGCTCCTAAATACTAGGCTAGAATACACCAGAATAAAATCAAAACAGTTACTCATACTAAAAGTCAAACCCGCTGATGGAAATAAAACAGGCTCTATCAGAAGGTTAATAGAAGCTATATGGTTGCAGAATATGAGTGATTTAGGCCTGGGAGACACAAGCCCAGCAATGTTTCATGAGAATTGGTGGGTGTTCCAAACTGTTGGACACCTGTTCAGAGTCTCTGTACTCTACACCAGAACTAGACTAGCTTGATGTAAAAAAGGCAAGCTTTAGGTAAGCTCGGGTTTCACCAACATAGGAGAGTATTTTTTTTTATAGAACACTGTTGGTGAATTCGTTACAAACATAGCTGCAAGCAGGGTATTGTCTTGCATTAAAATACCAGGAATTTCAATACCTTCCTTAACACTTTTGGTAGTGGTCAGTCTCTGAGAGTGTACCCAATGATTCCTGTGCACTAATGTTCATATTCCTGTATTATTCTCCCATCATCCAGAAGAAAGGAAATTTGTGTAACCAATGCGAATACTGCTGAAAGGACAGCGTAAAGTTCCAAGGCTAGGTCACAACAGTCGTGGCTTTCTGTTTTGTAGTTTCCTGATCAGCCGGCTGAGGGATTCCAGCCATGGGAATCTCCTTCTGCTGAGAAGGGGAACCTTCTGCCAACAGCCAGCACTTGCAATAGGCATGCACCATCTTGGATGTGGCTGCTGCAGCTCTAGTCTGGCCTCGGTGGAGGCAATGCTTACAGACGTGGTCTGCAACATCGTAAGAGATTCTGAGCCCAGAATCATTCAGAGAACAAAGCCTTTCCCAGCTTAAATCATATGAGATGGAAAATGTCTACGGCATTTAAAGGGGCTAAGTTTGGAAGTACATGCTAATAGATAACTAATATGCTTTTTATTTTTCTTATCCTAATCATATAATAGGACGAAAATGACCACTGTTTTCAATAAACTTTAACAAGTGGCATCCCCAATCACCTTCTAAAATAGAGTTAATGTGTCTTGTTGTGGCAAAAAAATCAGGGGTAGGGACAGGGCATGCAATGACTCAGCTGGTTACTCCTCCACATAAAAGTGTCGGAATCCAATATGGGTGCCATTCATGTCCTGGATGCTTCACTTTCAATCCAGTTCCTTGTTTGTGGTCTTGAAAAGCAGTGGAAGATGGTTCAAGTCCTTGGGACCCTGCACTGACATGGGAGACTTGGAGAGGGCTCCTGGCCCCTGGATCTTGGCTTCAGATTGCCTAAGCTTTGGCCATTGCAGCCATTAGGGGAGTAAAGAAGCTGATGAAAAATCTCTATCTCTCCTTCTCTCTGTAAATCTGTGTTTCTAACAAAAATAAGTTAATCTTTAAAAAAAATCTGGGTGATATAGTTTAACTAAGATTTAGTCCCTGAACTTACGCAAGCTAAACCCCAACGTTTTACGTCAACGATACCAACAAGGCAGAAACATAACCCAATATAGTGTGATTCTTTGGAGAGTGATTCGATTCAATTAGGTTGTTAAATGTAGAGGTCCCAGGATTCAATCTTGCTGGCTTTATAAGCAAAGAGAGATAAACTATTTAGTCAGACAAGAGTGCTCTTGGCTTCTTGTCATAAAAGGCACTTAGCCACCTTGGGATTTTGGTATTGAACAAATGCCATCACCAGAACCCAAACCAGTGGGGCTGGACCCAGGCCTGAATGATGATCTTCCATAATCATGAGTCAGCATACACCTCTTTTCTTTATAAAATGAGTCTGCCTCAGGTATTTCATTACAGTGAGGGAATGCTCACAAACACACTGGGATGGCATGTGCTCAGATAGGCATCTCCATCCATCTTCACCGGTGTCTGTGGTTTTGTTGTTCTATTTGTTGAGAGAAGAGGCAGAGGGACTCAAGGGCAAAACACAGTCTGAGTGGAGGAGCGGAAATGTTATTTGAAGAGCGCTGAATGGGGCTAAATTCATTATACAAAAAAAAACATGAGCAGGACTGAGCTACTTAGACGCCCAAAGCATCAAAACGGTCATGACGCCTTGCTATGTACAAAAACAAAACATAATACAACTGTACCAGGCTACGATGAATGTAAGAAGCCCCTGACATTTCTATTCCCTAATGCTTTATTCTGAAATGTCAATTATCAAATTCATCTTAAAAACCATTTTAGTGCCCCACTTTATCTCATTACTCATAATTGGTCTGCTTATTGTTTAATCCAGCCATGATGAAATGCTCTTTACAAACACCGAGAATCATTTTCTAATGTGAACATTTTTCATTACAGCTACTCCTGTGCCCTAGTTATTATGAAATCAATCATTTTACCTTTCAGCTGCTGGTGTTTTCCTGAGGGGCTCTTGTTAGCCAAGCTGCCTTTGATAACTACTAATTCTGTTAATATCCCTTTGAAGCCCATTATAAACATGTTCTTCACTCAGAAGCTCTGCAGTCCCCAGGAGAGAAGCTCATTTCACACCTGCAGCCCTCGTGCTGCCCAAGGAGTCCCATCTCCATGGCACCCAGGCCTTACCTGCCATGCACATACAGGGTCCACCTATTTACCCCAGCCTGGTCAGGGAGAAGGTTTCAGCAGTGGGCAAGCGTTAAGTTATCTGAGTTCAAGCAAGGCTCTACACATTACTCCTTTTTGAAGATCCAGATTGGGGCAGGTACAACCTGCTACAGAGGGACTGACTGAGAATCCTAATGAAGGAATGCAAAGGCATTTCACCGCACATGTCTAAGACCCAGCCAAAGAAAGACACTGAAAATAACACTCTGGGACTATGGATCAGGGAGTTTTGAGGCTTACCTACTAGCCATAGGTGACTATAAATAAAATCCATCCGCGCCTCTGTGGCCTTAGCACATTTGGCTAGCAGAGATAGACAACACATCCACCACCACAAGAGGTTGGATAGCCCCGTTCTGAAGTGTTTAAGCTATCATCATCGAGAGGAATTGAAAAACTCACTGAACTTCCTGACAATTTGTTTTTATGAGTTGGCTCTATGTTTAGTCCAGAGGTCCGAAAATCATCCTAACATCTAGAGACCCCTAAAAAAACCCTTCATTCTGACCTTGTTCCAAAGGACTCTAACCAGTAGTTTGAACTTCACTCCACACAACGCAAGAACAAACTATTGCCTTCCAAGATCAATCCTGAACACCTCGGATCCTCCAGAAAACACCAAATCAAGTAGGAGCCGGTCTTGGTTTGCTAAGCAACAGCGACGCGATCCCGCCCCTTCCCACCGAACCCCTCCTACCTTAGCGGCCTGGAGGGGCGGGGCCAAGAGCCACACATCCAATAGCAGCGGAGAAGAGGCGGGCGTCCCGGGCGCGTCCCCGTCGCTAGGGAAACCGCCGCAGCCGGAGTCCAGAGTCGGCGTGCGATGCCGAGCGCTGAGGAGCCAACCGCGCGCGCGGCGGAGACCCGGGATGAGGAGCCTGGCGCCGACCCGCGGCTGCCACTCCTGGGGGCCTACGTGGTCCGGAGCTTGCGGCCTGCAGCTGGCGCCTGGGAGCGCTGCGTGGGGACGGCTGAGGCGGAGCGGCTGCTCGGGGCCTTCCTGGGCCGCGACGCTGAGGAGGGGCCTAGGCCTGTGCTGCTGGTGCGGCCGGGGCCCGGGGGTCTGGAGATGCAACGTGGGCTGGACCCGGGTTCCGAGAGTGGCCCCCACGCTCGCGCTAAGGGGCTTTTCTTCTTGCGCACCAGGCCCGAGCCGCCAGGGCCCGACAGCCTCCGCGGGGCAGTGCTGTGCGGGGACCTGCCCGCGGCGCCGCTGGAGCACCTGGCCGCGCTCTTCTCTGAGGTGAGGGTGGGCTGCGGCTGTGGAGACCGCGGTCGGGGAGGGAGGGAGAGGCGGGGCCGAAGGGGAGCGCGCCCCGATCCAGGGGCGGGGTCCCCGGCCAAGGGGCGAGGCCAAGGCTGAGGAGAAGCCAGAGGCAGGAGCCCCGGAGAAAACGGGGAGGCGCCGGGGGTGGAGCCAGGCTGGAGGCGGAGCTGGAAGGGGAAACCAAGGCTGAGGGGGAAGACACTTGAGGCACCCTTGGCTGTAAAGCAGGCAGGGATGAGGTTGGAGCGGGCTCAGTCTGGCTTCAGTCTGGCTGTGTGCTTGTGCCCAACTCGTCAGGGGCTAGACCAGGCGCAGTGCCTGGTCAGACAACTTGGCAGGTGTCTGGAGAAGACTGCAAGAAAGCTGGCTGGAATGGTGGCGGGCAGAGCTGGAGAGAAGTTACAGCACCCAACTGGGCTGTAGTTTTCATCTTCATCACACGGACGTTTACATGAAAGTCAGCCCTGAGCCAACACTGGCCGTTGAAACACTGGACGGTGTATCTCTTTGGAAATGCTGCAACAGGGTTTGGGAGGAGCTGGAGTTTGAGGAGGAAGAGAGGAATTGGGAGCAACAAACGCCTCCGTGACACCACAGCAGAAGGGTCACGAGTAGAGGAGATTTCAGACAGGTGCTAGGAAGAGACCCACGGAACCTTCTGGAATTGGAGGAAGTTTCCTGCAAGTTGGGCATGCGCATTTCTGGAGGTTAAGACCCCGGTTCCTACAGACTGTGAAACAAGTGCTTACAGAAACTGACCATATGATCTTATTTGAAAGAACATTTCTCGGGGCTCGGCGGCGTGGCCTAGTAGCTAAAGTCCTTGCCTTGAACGCCCCGGGATCCCACATGGGCGCCAGTTCTAATCCCGGCAGCTCCACTTCCCATCCAGCTCCCTGCTTGTGGCCTGGAAAAGCAGTTGAGGACGGCCCAAGGCCTTGGGACCCTGCACCAGTGTGGGAGAAGTTCCTGGATTCTGGCTTCGGATTGGCATAGCATCAGCCGTTGCGCTCACTTGGGGAGTGAATCATCGGACGGAAGATCTTCCCCTCTGTCTCTCCTCCTCTATGTATATCTGACTTTACAATAAATAAATAAATCTTTTTAAAAAAAGAAAGAAAGAAAGAAAGTTTCTCCTCCAAAACTTGTCTACTTTCAAGGACTGAAATGCATATATATATATATATATATAAAATATGCAGTTACTAATATTTTCAGAATATTAAAAACTAGTATGACTGGAGTAGGGAGTAGAACTTACCTAAAACTTAGCCCCAGAGCTTAAAACAAATCCTGAATGTTGCCTGGTGTATCGGCTACCCTTTAGATGATTTGTCAGGAGTCTAAGGGGAGGATTATTTTCAGGAAGGCTATAATATGGACAGAGGAATTCCCAGGAGCTCGGGAAGGCTAGACTTATCCTTACATATGGAAGTTTCTCAATATTTTCCCAACCGCAGTGGTCTCAGCATTGTTGGTTGTCTGAACAGCCTCCCTGAACTTCAGTCTGCTATAGCGAAGGTACAAAGTGCCATTGAGTTGAGGAGAGATAGACTTATAACCTAAGAATCATGCTTAGCTGTAAGGTGGCTTTCAAGTCACAGGGAACGAATTGAACAAAGTTCAGGGCGAGAGCTCAGCTTTGTGTATGTGGGGGACGCCAGGCCCATCTCAGAGTTCTGTCATGAAAAAAGGAAATGGAGTCCAACAGTCAAGGTAATTTAAAAGTCATTCAAATCCTCAAATGCACAAGAATGTTCACATTGAGTGAGACTGAGGACACCCCGAGTCATCATCATCAACGGGGTTAATGCGATGGTTAAACCCTGTGCAACTCTTCATCAGCAATGATTAATATCAAATGCCCCTTAAGGTGGTCTGGGGATATGCCAACGGTTTCAGAGTGTTCAGTACCGTGTTGTCCACCACAAGCACACTGTGCAGTGGAGTTCAGAACTCCACTATGCAGTGTATGAAGCCAGCCTCTGCCACTCCAGCAGGCCCTGGCGGCCACCATTCTGCTTTCTGTCCCCATGATTTCGACTCCTCTCGTGTCATCAGCAGCATCAGCTGATGTCTCTTTGCACTTGGCTTACTGCACTTAGCGTCACATCCTCAGACTTCCTGCCTGTTGTCACCCGTGACAGCTGCTCCTTCTCTTTACGAGGGCATCATAATATTCTATTGCATTTACCACATTTACTTCCTTTTTTGTGGAATTTAGGTATTTTCCCATCTTTTGACTATTGTATTTACTCCATCTGCATCCATATTCACAGAGCTCAGCCTTCCATTCCATTGCTCCAGGGGGAGATGAGGTGTGCCATCTTCTGATGCTAACCCTCAGACTGAAACTCCTGCTTTTGCTTGAGAACCTAGTCCTCTCACACTTCTGCATTCTAAGGATTTCCCTTTTTAGTATATCATTTCCATCAAACAACATTCTCATATCAACCCACTTTTGTAGTCCTCTGCATAGGGAAACTCCTGGATTGTATTTTTTCACATTGTTTTCCACTCTCCTGTTGTGTGATGTTAAATTCACTGATCAGCCTTTTTTTCTGATACTCCCCCAAAAAAGGAAGTTTAATGTTTCCAGTGAGCTCCACTTGACCAAATCAAATGGTTATTAATCCTCATCCTATATGACCTGTAGTAGTATGTGTCACTGCTTACAACCATGCTCTTCTTCAAGAAGTATTTGTTTCCTCTGGTGGCCGGGATACCATTCTTCTATTCTCCTAGCATTATTGCTCTTCCTGATCAGTTTTCATGAATCCTTCTTTCCAGCTTCTTACTACAGGAGAACCCTTCCTGTTTTTTTTCTGTATATCCTTTTCCTTGAAGAGCTCTTACTGAATTTCAAGTTTTACAAAGAATCTGTGTCTGTAACCTCCCAACCTTTTACTCTGTGAATTACCAGTCAGAATATCCAAATGACTAGTCATTGATTCAATCTTGAAGTTCAACAGATGTGTCACATTTTAGCAATACCCAAACAAGTCAATTTTCCCTCAGGAACTTGCTCTACCCTTATTCTTAACCATAGGAGTCAAAGACCGCCCCATTCTTCCCGTTTCTCAAGCCCTCATCTTGTCCCATTTTTTTCTCACAAATCCAAAACTAATTTATTAACACATCACATTGGCTGTGTTTTTTGAAATTTATGTAGAATCAAACCATTTTTTCCACCTCCACCACCACCTCTCCTATTAAGTCACTATTTCCTTTGTTATAGAAATAACTCACTGACCTCCTTTTCCACTCTTTTTCCAGTGCAGCCTGTTCAGTACAGCAGCCAGAGTGATCTCACTTTTTAAAAGAGATGTCATCTCTTGCTCAGAAGCTTTCAATGACAACTATTTTTCTGAGAGTAAAAGTCAAATTTTTGTAGGCATGACTACAGGGTACCCTCTTTACTCATCCATACTCTTCCTTTCTACCCTGTTCCAAAATTGCTGGTCTCCACACTGTTCCTTGGTCACACCAAGTAAGCCCTTATCTCGGGGTCTTTGCACTGGCTGTTTCTTCTCCCAAGGAACTGCAAAGTAAAACCCTAATTCTCTTGAGCCTTTTTTTTCAGATGTTCCCTTCTAGGTCAAGGCTGACATGGCCTTCAACTCTGTCCTCACACTGCCTTAATTGTATTCATAGAACTTATTAAGCATTGATTCTCTTCTATAATCTTCTGTTGTGTCTTGCTGTATGCTAAGTGGTGGATATTTAAAGATCAAGTAAAATAAAGCCATTGCCTTTGAGATTGCAGGAAAATTCTACTCTGTCATTGTTCTCTGTTAGGCCTTCTGCAAGGATTTAAGGGATCCCTTCTTGACATGAATGAAATTTTTGCTATTGTTTATCTTTTTGAGCTTTCTTCACTTGTAAGTTCTAGTTCAATGTTTCCAGAGAGACCAAACAAGAAATTTAGCATGCTGGCTCCAGGTATTCTATCTCACTAATTAATGAGACTTACTGGTTATAGAAAGAACTCAGCCAGTCATATGGAGCTGTATTTCCTTTTCTGTATTCACTTGGTGACATTCCCTGGTCAGCTGTTTTTCTTCCTAGTGTTTTCCTTCCATTACATTAGTTGCATGATTTTAACATGGCAAAGGCCTATATGGAGTTACATTGACACTTTGGTCTTGTTGGTAGTAGAAACTCACTTTCTATCAAAATTTTAGCTCAGAAAGCTCACAAACAACTTGGCTTAGAAATTCAAGCCAAGTCACCAGGACTGGGTCTTTCTGCATCTGACAACTCTTTTCTCTAGATGGACTCTATTCTAAGATTTTATGTAGTGGCAAAATGGCCATCAAAAGCTTCAGACTAGTAGAAAAGAGAACGTAGAAAAATTCAGGTAAGAATTATTTTTGGCGTGACTCTGATTGGCCCATATTTGGTTTCATTTTCACCGCTGGATTTTGGAATAGGTACCAAAAGAAGCTGACCTGTGTTAGGTCGCACAAACCAGCTAAGGGTCACTCAAAACATGAATTCCATGTCATGGGCTTTATTTTCTTGTTTTATTAAGGTGCCCTATCACACCATGACTCAGGTGGCCAACCTTACCCACCTTTGTATTATTCATTTGTTTATTTGTTGCCTGTGGTCTTCTTTGAGTTTTTCAGTCGTTCCATTCGCTGTGTTGATGACAGAAGGTTTCCTTTCCCGAGAGTGATGAGGGTGACTGAACATATAGCACCTGGCACATAGGTTATATTTACTGCAGTTGTATTAGTCTCAAATCTTCACAGCCCGAAAGAGGAGGACACCTTGCCCATACAAAGGCTGCCCTTGGGAGCAGAATGGATTATCAGGCGCTCACATGATGGTGTCAGGAGGATGAGATGCCCCCAGGTTACTGTGGAGGACATTATTGATTTATTGGAATGATTTCACAAGCTGGCAAGACACTGAAGCCAGCTATCAGAGAGAAGCAGGAACCATGCGCATTCTCCTCCACAGGGAGGTTTACTTGGCTTGGAGATGTTAGCAACAGAAGCTAAACAGAAAGGAGAACTTAAGAGTAAGCTGTTGGAGACCCTGCCGACTTGACCAGATGTCAAGGTAACATTGGCTCTCTAGTATGAGTCCTTAAACGGTGACCTGCAAAAGGTTGCACATAACTGCATGGGCCCTTTTCAGAAGTCTTTCTTTAAAGTCCCAGTAGTGGAATGGCAGCTTTTCTTCCCTGTGCGCTTCTATCACCAGATTGTCTTACCCATCCTGGCCAATGAGAAGAATTGCTTAGACTGGCCTCCCATGGTGTGTCAAGATGTCAGACGGCATGCCAACACCCTCCAGAGCGATCTCCTGGTTATTCTGGAACAACTGAAGGGGAAAACACTGCTCCCCCTTCCAGCAGGCTCAGAAAAAGTGGAGTCTATGGATTTTGAAAACGAGACAGAGTAAGTACCGGCAGCCTGGTCATATGGCCCTCTGCAATATGGGAGGGACTGGCTTATCTGAGTGTTTTCATTACCAGTTTTCGGTTCCTGGCTGTGTCCCAGTCTACACACAGCCCATGTCTGCTCAGTTTACCAACATCCTCGGACTGTATGTCTGCACAGTTACTTCCCTTATACCAATCCCCTTGTCCCTGAGTCTTTCAAGGCCATTTCTGAAATGTGTGTTCTTTCTACCATTTGGAATCATGTCAGGACTGAGAATAACCACCCTGAAAAGGAGAATGCCTCATCACTGGCAAAGACCCAGCTTCTAGTCTGGAAGACAGCATGCCCCTTCCCAGCATTCACTCAATGCACGGTATCATAAGGCTAGTGCTTCAGACACTCTTTTCCAAGCAGTTGGAGATTTTCCCCAGATTCCTGGGATTTTTATTTTTCATTTTCAAACAGACACAAATCTGATTTTTTTTTTTTTTGGAGCCTGGAGTCCATACCTTTTAATCCCAGTGTGAGCTTTAAAACCTTCAGGTAGAGTTCAGTGTTTTGTCACAGAAGATTTTAATAGTCACCTATGACACTGGCATCCTGTATCAGAGTACTGGTTCAAGTCCTGGCTGCTCTGCTTCCAGTGCAACTCCCTGCCTATGTTGTTGGAAAAGCATTGGATGACAGTCCAAGAATCTGGGCCCCTGACACACATCAGGGGGACCCAGATGGAGTTCCAGTCTCCTGGCTTTAACCTGACACAGCCCTGGCCATTGTGGTCATTTTGGGAGTGGATATGTAGACGGAGGATCTCATTCTCTCTGTGTCTCACCCCATCTCTCTAGCACTCTGCTTTTCAGGTGAGTGAAATCATTCAAAACAGAACTCCCAGCCTCCACTTACCACTCTAGCTTTGAACTATTTTTGTTTGTCTTCTATGGATATTTTTCCCCTTTCAAACCATGCTAAGGCTGTAAATAATATATTTTTCGTATTTTACCAAGCTTTTCTGTATATTTAGGCCACATATAACCTCCTCATGTGAGCTCATTCTGCCATATTTCCTGGAGTTTCCCTGTGTATTGCTGTAATCATTGTATTCTCAGGATTCAGGAATTGCTCCAAAGAATAAGAAATACAGGCACTGGAAATACACTTTATAATGAAGTTTTTTCCTGTTGGAAGTAATTTGCTCCTTGTACAGTTTGAAGCAATGTCCCAGTTAACTGGAAAACTTAGTGTGGTTTAATAAAAATATCCAATTTTCAATATAAATAAATTAAACTACCCTCTTCCTGGTCCCTTCATACTTTAACATAATCACATTCAGTGTGTATATATAAGAAGTGCTGTTTTCTCTCCCTTTGTTCAGATTTTATATTTTCCCAAAGAGCTGCATCATTCTGGGGGAGATGAGTATGTACCTTCTATAATTACCTAGGCTATATTATCTCTTAGCAAATAAAAATTTAATTTAATCAAGAGAAGGTGGGTTGCTGACATAAAAATGTAAATGATATTCTATCTTTGTTCCTCTCTTCTATTCCTGAGGGGGACATAAGGGGAAACAGAAAGGTACTCCATCCCCTGATTCACTCCACAAAGAGCCACAACAGCCAGGTCAGAACCAGGATGCAGACAGGAACCAGGGACTCCACATACGTCTCCCACAGAGATGACAGGACACAAGTACTTGGAACATCATCTGCCACCTACCCAGGCACATTAGCAGGAAGCTCAATAGGAAGCAAAGTAGCCAGTCTGATATAGGATACCAACGGCCCAAGCTATTTCGTCATAACTTTCCCATGACACCACAATGCTGTGGCCCTTGTCTTTCATTCTTGGCCTTTTAAAAAAGAAAGCCACAAACATCTCTAGGTTATCATGATGAAATAAAGGTTTATGAGCTTCACAGAAAAACTTGGGAATTCCAGTCATCACTGGGAGAGTCAGGTCACAGTGAACATCAGGATGGTGCTGGCAGGTGGCCTTTTGGAGGAGGCTGTCATCTATCTCCTGTTGCTTCCAAGGGCAGAACTAAGACCAAAATGAGGAAGTTACAGGGAGGCAGAGGAAGAACCTCCCTGAGAGAGCAGATCTGCCATGGAGTGTTCTGTGTTGTTAGGTAGGGAGCTTGCTGTTACTGAAGGGATTGAAACAAAGGCTTGATGACATACAAATCTCTTACATTGGTCTTCAGAATCTTAATCAACCTATGAATCTGTATGGGTGATCCTGTATTTACACACACACACACACACACACACACACACATACACACGCAAGAATATTGTTCCAGTGAGTTTATATTTTGTTGACTGCTCAGCAGATTCTGTTACCCAAAAAAACTTCTTTGATTCAGTGGTGTTTCCCATCTACTTGTTAAGATTTGAGATTCTATTTTGAGGTACGCAAGATTATTTCCACAGATTCCAGGAAATTTGTTTTGTCTTTCATAGCTTGGGTTCCATAGACAAGTCAGTCATCTATGACTTGGAGTCTGCAGTGATCCGATGGAGTCACCAGGTACAGCTGGTGCTCAAAAGAGAGTCTTCTCAGCCACTTGTACAAGGGGAGCATCCCACACCAAAGGTGGAGCTGGCGTTCTGGAAGAAAAGGTAGGCAGGTGCTCAAATCCAGGTGGAAGCTGTCTTTTGGAAGACGAGGCTGGGGATGGCCTGGGATATTTAATTTTTGAGCTGGTTCTTCAGTTGTTTCTTATCATCTCTAGGTCACATGGCTCAATGTCATTGGGTTGGTACAGTTTTTCTCTGGATGGGAAATGTATATTTTCCTTAAGGTTCAATAGCCATGCTTGGTTTCTTGGGGTACCATTAGTCTGTCTGCTGGCACTGTTTCAAAGGCTTTTTCCACTACAAGTCAAATTCATCAACTCTTTGAAACAGCTTGTTCTGAACGTTCATCTCCATTCTCCTTGGATGGTCAAGACTAAATACAGATAACTTTTTATGAGAATCTGTAAAAAGTTTTTCCAAGTTGACTGCAAAATGGCCTTTCCTAGGCTCCATTCTTGTAGAACAAGCTGTCCCAAAGAAACCCTATCACTGCTCTTGTTCCTGCTTTCTGCATATCCCCCCTTCCTGCTTCTACTTTCCTTGCTTTAATTTGTTTCTCAAAAGATCACAGATGTGGAAGACAGATATCCCTGTCCTCAAGTACTGCCTGGAGAGGGCCTATATCACAACACCTGATCTGCCTCTAGGGCTTCAGCCTTGTTTGCACTACATCTTCTCTGTCCACCCTCTGCTGAGATGCCGCCTCCGCTTGCCCAGTTTTTAACCATTCACTGACCCATAGAAGAGGCCCTTCTCTGGCAGCCTTGCTCTGACAGCACCTTTCTCTTTCTCTTTCTTTCTCTCTCTCTCTCTCTGCCTTTCTCTCTCTCTCTTTCTGCCCTCCTGCTCCAACCTTACAGCAAGAGCTAATGACCTCCAGCTGCCAAGTTTTTGAGTCACCAGATGGTCACAGCAGTGCTTCCTGGAGCTGCCCCTTTGAACCTGTCCCTGACTCAGGCATTTGCCCTAAGTCTTCTGAGAACAGATGTCCCAGCTCAGGGGGCAGGACACAGTCTCTATTGAAACCCTCCACAGCACAGCTCCTCCCTGTCCACATGAGGATGGGTCATCACCAGATGAGCTGTGTAGGTTGATACTCACCAGGACACTCCCTTCTTCGTGGTATTGCAGGTCTGAGGATTTGGAATATATTTACAACCAACTGAGAACCGTCGAGGAAAAGGGTATAACCAGGCTCCTGGACAAGCTTCGGAGCAGCTACCTTCCAGCATTCAAAACCATGTGCAGAGATATTGCAGCAGGTGAGGGCCAACAAGATTTTGCACAAAGACACTTTACTGGGATTTCTTATTGCATTAACTTCCCTCTGAGTTCAGTCCCTCCAAGTCCTTTAACCTCTCAACCTAGCACACTAGAGACCGGTGGAAGAATTCCTTCACTAGAATGTGGGAGAGCAACTACATGAAACTGGCCTCTGCTTGCTATCTGCCTGGGACCTTGGGCAGCTTCACATGATCTGTCTGTGCTCTGGTACATTTCTGATTCCTGGCCTGGCTCATGTGAGTGAAAGCCCATCCTTTTTGAACTCAGTTAGCCATGTACTATGGATGCATGCACACTGCTACCTCGTGTGCATTGCTACCTTTTGCTACCTGGAGTTCAAGTCCCTCTCCCCTTGACTGAGAAATCTCTGTTCCACTGCTAACATCTTTTCTGCTTTTCAGTTCTTACTGACAAATGGGTCTGCAATTGCCTGGCCATCTGAGCGCCAGACAAGATCAGCCAATGTCAAAATCGCAAAGCCAGCAAAACCTATGCTTAGAAATGGGTGAATCTTCCCTCATTGGTTCACTCTGTTCCTTTCTCCTTTGCTCCCATCAAACTGCCTCTTTGCTCTCCAGTACTAAAGGTCAACATGTACTCTTAAATTTCTTTGTAACTTTATATAATTTGAGTTTCGCCTACAAAGTCGTTTTCGAACATTTTTTCTTTGTCTCTTTTTGAATTACAATTTCCTAAGTAAGTCTAAGAAAAAACAAAAACAAAAAAACTATTTGGGATGGGCAGAAAATAATGGTGCAGCTATTAAGCCACTGCTTGGGACAAGAGACAGAACTGGCACCGTTTGGGACAGGAGTCTTAGGATTGAGGCAGCTCCGCTTCCAATCCAGTCTCTTGCTTGTGTGCCCGGAAGGGCAGCAGGAGATGACCCAAGTGCCTGGTTTCCTTCCACCTAAGTTTTGGGCTCAGAGCTTCAGCCTGGTCTAGTCCCAGGTGTTGTAGGCATTGGAGGAGTGAACCTGCAATTGGAAGATCTCTCTCTGTCTCTCCCTCTCTCTCTTTCTCTGTCTCTCTACCTTTCAAATGAGCATAGTAAGTAAACAAACAAATAAATGCTTGAGCCAATCAGTATATATCTTCTCAAAAGAGCAGCATTCTGTGTCCAGGGTCCACTGCATAAGCCTTCATCCCACCTTCTCTTCCTTGTTGCATAGGCTTTGGAGACCACTCAGCAAAAGAACTGAAAGTCAGGCTGATGGTATTTCTGACATGAGCAGTGTCACAGAGAACTGGTGTCAGTAGTTGGTCCTTGAGGTCCTTCTGGGAGCAATAGTTCCATTACAGAGGCTGATCTGCCAGCAGGGAAAACTAGCTTGGAGCAAGATATCTCATGGGATCCTAGTTTATTGCTTCATTGAGAGAGCCTGTATCCAAGAGGAATCTGCTCATTTCCCATTTGGATTTCACTTCAGAAGAACAGGTGTCTGAGATAGTGGTTTAGTCTGATAGTCTGAATGCCAGTTAACATGAGAGTTGATTGTGGGAGACATGCAGACAGGTAATTTGTGAAATGCAATGAAGGATATAACTCTGCCTTAGGGATACTCATCTTCCATTAATAGTGGTGGTTTAGAGCTTTCATTTTATATAATTTTATTTGAGTTAAACTGGGAGTCAATTTAGATGAAAATATTAAGAAAGCACAAGAGATTGTATTCAGACACAGTACCTATCATAAAGGAGATACACAATTGCCTTCAACTTGGGACTCTAAGATAAAACATGCAGTAAAAATGTATTGTGAATTGGTTATTTAAGGCCCTAAGAACATTTTTCACCTTAATAAGTTAATAAACTATAACCATCCAAATAAAACAATAGTTCTAAAACATGCACTTCCCCAGGCCAACTTCAAAAAATTGTTTACAGTAGATGGAATCTATACCGGCTATGAAATTAGAAGAAATACTATTATAGAATTATTGAACAAGTACTACTGTAAAGGAAGTTCTTTCTTTTATTGTTTTTGGATACAATTTAGTTGGCGTTGGGGGTCTCCTTTCCCCCTCTCCAGAGCTCCCTCCCCTCCCCTCCATTCTCCCCTCGCAATCTCACAATGGGTGTCTTCTGTGAATTTTCCCAAAGTCCATCATGCTGATGCAGGAGTGTCTCCCAACCATGCAGGAGACTGTCAGTCATTTAAAGGAAAATCTTTTAATGTGTAATTTAATTCTAATGATGGAAGAAAGCAAATTTGATTGGAGGTGTTAGGTGGAGACTTGGCCAGACATTTTGGCAGTGTTTTCCAAGTATAAAAAGATTTTAGAACCCGGTGACTGAGTTTTTCATTTCCAATTTAATTTCAAAACATGTGACTTTCTTTCTCCTAAATAGATACACTATGAGAATGATTCTTATCAGGCATGACCATGGTAGTTCATTGACTCGCTGATAGACTGAAGAGAGCGGGAGGGAAAGAAATATTTCTAAATCAGAGAACACTTATTGGAAAGCAGAGACAAATAGAGGAGGTTGAAGGATGGAGAGAAATATATGAAGACAGGCTGTCTGAAGGCGGATTGATTGGATACTGGATATTCTTGGAAAACAGGAAGCAACAGTTCCCTAGAGGGAAAAAGCCAGATCAACAAAGACTAAATCTGGGATTTTTCCCTCTCTTGTTCCTGGGTCAGGAACATTGGTTTAGTGCCACCTGGTTGCCAACCAAGGAGCTTTGGTAGTCTATATGTGTGGGAAGAAAGCCAAAGTCCATTGGCATGTGGGAACTAGCCTGTGCTAACTTACGGAGGCTCATGAAATGCCCTTGTTTGGCCTCACAAAACACCATTCTAAGCAACGCTCAGTGAGGTCACATCGCTAGCTAAAAGTGAGCTGTGAAGGAAATATTGGGAGTATTTACACCACAAGATTGGCCAAAGCTACAAATAAAGGCATGTGTCCCCAAATAGCTCCCATTAAGGATTTACCAGCAATTCAGCAGACATCACCATGCAGCTGGATGCTTACATTTACAGTAACCACTTATATCCCTGGATTCTGTGTCTGTGGGTCAACCATGAATCAAAAATATTTTTAATAAGAATGGGACCTGGCACAATGGCTTAATGGCTAAATCCTTGCCTTGCAAACACTGGGATCACATTTGGGTGCTGGTTCATATCTTGGTTACTCCACTTCCCATCTTTCTCCCCGCTTATGGCCTGGGAAAGCAGTACAGGGTGGCCCAAAGTCTTGGGATTCTATACCCATATGGGAGACACAGAAGCAGCTCCTGGCTCCTGGCTCCTGGTGTTAGATCGGCTCAGCTCTGGCCATTGTAGTCATTTAGGAAGTAAACCAATAGAGGGAAGGTATTTCTCTTTGTCTCCTTCTCTCTGTAAATCTGATCTGCCTTTCCAATAAAAATAAATAAATATTTAAAAATAAGAATGAAACAGCAATAAAAACAGCTTTTAAGATAGTGTTAGCAACTACTAACATAATATTTACATTGTATTAGGTAAAGTCATTCATAGGTGAATTAAGATACATAGAATTATGTGCATGGGTTATATGCAAAAACTGCATCATTTTATTAAAGGAACTTGAGTGTTTAGGGATTTGGGCATACTAGGAAGGATCTGGAACTAAACTCACCATGCTCTTCATCCTAGAAGAAATTGAAAGTATGCAGTGTTGATTCATCAGTTTCAAGATGCTATTATGAATGTATTCATATCTTCAATTTGTAAAGATGTGAGCTTACCTCTATCTTCCTGTCCTCACTGGATTTTAAGCCAAAGTGTTTGCAGTCTAAACTTAATAAAGAGCCCTTCTCTCTTAAATACTATGATCCTAAATAAAATCAAAGGAGTGCCTCTTTGATAAAGGAAGATTTTGCTTTTATTTACCTTTTATTATAATTTTCTTTTAGAGGCAGTCAGGCAGACAGAAATCTCCTGCCTCTGGTTCACTGCCCCAGGTAACTACAATAGCCGAAGCTAGGCCAGGTCAAACAGGGAGCAAGGAACTCAATCCATGTCTTCTGTGTGCATTGCAGGGACCCAAATATTCGAGCCATCTACCACTGCCTCATAGGGTAAGCGTGAGTAGGGAGCCAGAGTCTGGAGCTGGAGCAGGGAATCAAATTCAGCTACCTGAGACATAAGCATGACTGAATCTTAATCAAACAGCCACCCAGAATTTGATTGTTTTTTTTTTTAAGTTTTAAAAATGGAGTATCACAAGGAGAAAGTTCCTCTAGTGTGAAGAGCCCAGCCTCCTTTCCCACACAGCACTCATAATAACCAAAGCATGAGTTTGTTACCAAGTCTGTTGGGTTTTGAGATCCATCCATCTCCACCATGGTTCTGGTCCGCTTTAGCTGGTCAACATGCAAATCAAAGTCTCATGACATTTAATTTTCAACAAGTCTGTCCATATGCTGCTTCCCACAGACTCATCTGGGACATGAAGTGCAAACCTACACATTGGCAAACCCCTGGGCATACCCTTCAAGCCAGGAATGCAGTAAAACAGACCTAGGGCGTTGTTCCTTTTGCCAAGCTGCGTAGGGCTGGTCTACTCAGTGGATGACCTTTAGGCAGGTTGTACAGCAATTCATATTTTCTCTTCAAAATGAGAGTACCTCACAGATAGATGACAAAAGAGGATGCTTCAAAATATTCTTCGAAAAGTTGAATTAAAAAGAAGCTGATTTGCATGCAAAATTTGTTTGAGGTATATATATATATAGTTTTATATACATATGTATGCATAGCTTTTTCATGATATTCATTTTCCATGGACTTATTATTTTTTATTATTATTTGATTTTGATGATCTTTACATTGTTGATTAGGGCATAAAGGGTCAAGAGCTAGAGGAAAGTGGGTAAGACCATTGTTTCCACCTACTCTTTTTCTCTTCCTATATCTGGGGGAAGGGAAAGATAAGGGGAGAAGTCACACCCAGCCTCCCAACCATCCCAGGGTCCCCATTGTGGGGATGCTCTAAGGGTACGGCTCAAGTAGTTATGATCATTCGACAGTTCTGAATTGCTGCCAGTCTTGCCATTCCAAGCACGATGAAGTCTCTTCAAAATCCACTGGTTGACATAATCCATTTTAGAGTCTCAGTTTGCCCAGATTTTAACTGCTAACACATGGCTGGGTGGTTGATCAATTTGTTCTGTCCTCTGTTCTCTGTTGTGGTACCAGGTGTCCTCTGCAGGCTCCAGTGGACTGCCGTATTCTTCATGTACTTCTGCCTATGCTGACCACTACTGCATCTGAGCCACTGAGGGGGCTCAGCTCTGACACATGCACTCCATGGTCAGACCACGGAACCTGCAATTCTCTTCATAGTTGGGATCTGAGTCCAGTGGTTCAGTTGGGGGAATCCCCAAAGAAACTTTATCTGAGATGATCCCAGACCTGATTTTTGTGTGTGTTTGCCAGTACACAGTCTGGCACAGTCTGTCGCCCCAATCAGCTTATGCATATGCTGGTGGCTGCAATTGCTGGGTCAGTTCTGTTTCCAGCCCTGTCTTCTACACAGACCAATGGGTGTTGTAGTCCTGCCTGATCCTGCCCACTAAACACTCAGCCCTCACACAAACCAATGGGAGCTGCAGCCTAGTCAGAGTGACCCATAATAACCCACACCAGGCCCACCCCTACCCTGGTTCCTGTGCTTGCCGGTATGTACAGCACACTGGTTCAGTCTGTGCTACATCCCAATGGGCGTTGAAACCTAGTTCAAACCAGCCAGCCCTACTATCCAGTCCACACACATGGCAGTGGGTGCCACTCTGTCTAACCATGCCTGCCCCAGTCCTGATCCCCATGTTCACCAGTGGGAGTGGCAACCCAAGAGGGAGGTGCCAACTGGTTTTCTACTGGGCCCACTCCTACTCCTGGATCTTGCACTCTCCAGGTAGTTCTGCAGTTTAACTTGAAAGAACCCGTGGCAGCATCCACCATCTGATGCTGCACTAGTAGGAACAGTCAACCAGCCTGGCTTTTCCCTGATCCATCTCACATGAGGCCAACTGGTGTTATAGTCCTGCCTGGTCTGGTCTACCCCCATTCCAACTCACGCTCACCAGTGGGAATGGTGACCCAGCAGGGGAGCCCCATGCCAGCCCTACTATTGGCTTTGCCACCTTCCCCCATGGGTCTCACATGTGCTGGTTGGGTGCTACAGCCCAGTCTGACATGGCCTGCCTCACGTTGGCATTTGCCAGTGGGTACTATAGCCTGGTGAGGGCTGCAGCCATGTAGAAGGCCTGACTCTGCAGGGATTGTAAAAAGTTTTGCAGCACCAAACTTATCTTTAATTCTATGTTCCATGAAGTTTTTGGAGTTCCCTGTTATACCTAGTGGTTAGGAAAACTCCTGGAGTATTGAAATTGTTTACTACATACTGTCTATTCGGGTTTCCGTTAGTATGAGTCATATGCTAGATCTATACTGCAGCATGAAACCATATGCTCTCACAGAATACTGCCTGACTCTCGGCTTGGATAAGAACAAGGCTACAGGAATCAGTTTGTTCCCAGGGCTTCTGCAGTCACTAAATGACTCTGTAGATGTTACTCCACACTGCCTCTGGGTTGTCCATTTACTACTCTCTGCTATCCTGAGACAACACATCCAGCTTTCTTGGCTGTGTTCACAGGTGATAACAGGAGAATTTCCCGGTTTGGGGAACCCAGCAGAACCTTGCTATCACAGTCCATGCTGCTTCTCTGTACCCCCCGTGTCTTCTGCCTTACAAGACCTCACTGAGATTCTCTAATAACAAATACTCTCAGAGACACCAGTGCTTACCAAATTCCTGCTTTGGTCCGGGCACTATGCTAATATGTCCGAAAATGAAGACTGCATTTTGCTACCTTCAACCTTCACAGGGACTCTTTAAGTTAGTCATTGCTGGATGTGTTGCTGGGACTTGGATGCCCAAGGTCGCAGAGTGGCTAACCATCAGGGTCAGCTTTTGAAGACAGATCTTCATGATTCTAAAGCTCATCTTCTGTATTATCTCAGAGATAAAAGTTTCAAAGTCATCAGCAAATATCTTCGTCTACAGAGCAAGTTGTCTACTACACATTGCGCATCAGACGGGAGCTGGAAGGGCCAGGAAGAAGTCCTCAGAACAGATCCTCATGGCAGTGGGCTCTCCGGGCTTCCATACATCCACAGCAGAGCTAGGAGGGTCTCTGGAGGCAGCCTGCTCTGCTTGCTGCTCTCTTGATTGAGGATGAGTTTGTAATCTGAGATTCTCAGATCCTTCTCTCCCTGGGAGCTAGGGGTCCACCAGGTGGGCAGCACTTCTCGAGTGGTGACAGTCTTCAATTCCTTCCAGCTCTGATGGAAGCACAGGACATCCACGTGCACCTGCTGCCTCTCCAGCACCACCTGGAAACCCTGGAGAGCATAGAATTTCCCAAGGTGAAGCCCCGGCTGCCACCTCTGCTTCATGTGGTGTGTCTGATCTGGGCCACCTGCAAGGGCTACCGCTCCCCAGGGAGGCTCACAGTGCTGCTCCAGGAGATTTGCAACCTTCTCATTAAACAGGTGAGTACCTCCTCCCCTCTCCCTGCTCCTGGCATTTCCAGAAACATTGCTTCTCCTGGGGTGGGGGAAATGGGATGGAGGGCTGCTATTGGCACTGAATCCCAGAAAAAGAAAAATTGTGCATTTATTTTTTTCCCAGCAGGAGATTCATGATGATCCAAAGGAGTTCTCACACCTGAATTATTTTACTCTCACAAGTCAATAATTCACTAAGAGGTTATATCTTGGCTGGAGCCAAGGGTAGGGACAGTAAATTTTAAATTCTTGAGTGATTGGTATTCAGTCAGAGGTGAAATCAAAGTTGGAACTTCTGGAGCCTGTGATTAAAATTTGGGCCTAACCACTTGTAAGCTGTGTATACCAGGTCCAGTTGCTTACCTTCTCTGTGCCTCACTCTTCTGCACAATAGTGCCAGTAAGAGGACACATCTTAGGGTCTCTGGGACATTTCCCAGCTCCAGTGAGGTAAAGCATGTGCCTTCACTTGGTAACAACACAGTACCTGTAAGCTATGGGGAAACAATTTATTGGATTGCACACTTCTTTCTCCTCCTTCCTAGGAACTCTTTGAAGCACCAGATAGGGCAGTGTAAGCCTCAGGGAATGGCCATTGAGGAGATTTGAGCAACCTTCCCCTCCAGTTGGCAACCTCATATCTGAGGGGCTGTGACCCTGAGAAGAGGATGAGTAGCTAATATCCATGAAGCCCTTTGCAAGGTTATAGACTGCTAATACACATGTGATCTTGGTCCATTGTTAGATGAACCCTGGGGATGGGCAGGGAAGATCTTACCATTCCTTTGATAATAATGACTAAGGCTCAAGAACACAGATTGGCTTTGCCCAAGGACACCCAAGCCAGGTCCTGAATCCAGATAGTTTGACTTCTAGACCAGCACTAATTCATCATTCTAGGACTCATCAACCAGAAGTTTTCTGGCTTGAAAGGGTTAGGAATCCAATTTAAATTATCATCAACAAAAAGGAAAGAAAAAAAATGGCTCCTCTACCTTGAAAATGAAGTGATTTCACTTCAATGCTTACTGACGATACTGTGACTAGGATCCAGGACCCAGTTCTCTCTGTCTTTCCTGTGGTTTCCATCCATGGATCCAGCTTCCCAGATGTCCAGCCAAAGGTATCTTGGGAAATAATTACATCCCAAAGAATTTTCTTTCTCTTAAGAGTTATTTATTCATTTGATAATTAGTTAGAGAAAGAAAGAACAGAAGGATATCTTCTAACCACTGGTTTACTCCCAAAATGACTGCAACAACTAGGGCTAGGTCAGGTCAAAACCAAGATTCCGAAACTCTCTGTGGGTTTTCCATATAGGAGGAAATGTGGAGGCATGGGCCATCTTCTGCTACTTTCCCAGATACATTAGCAGGGAGCTGGATTGGAAATGGAATGACCAGGGCTCAAAGCAGTACTCCGGTGGCACTGACAGAGGCTTAATCAATTGCACCACAATGCCAGCATCAGATTCAAAGAATTCTTGCACTCAAATTATTTTTCTGTGGAAAGCCAGTAAGTCACAAAAGAACACCTGTGCCAGCTCCAGCTGGCCAAACAGAAGTCCCATTATGACTTCTTACTCATCCCTGTTGCTGAAGTTCAAAAGGAGTATCCAGCTTGAACCCAGGCCACAGTCAGCCTGTGTAATGGAAGGTTGAGTTCAGAGTTTCCTGTATCGTGCACGTGAACAATATCTCTGGGACCATGTCTCTCTGCAGAGTCGGTGTAGGCAACATTATGAGATGTCCAACACTTGAGACCCAGTTTGGTGACACTCATCTCTGTGCATTCCAGGCCTCTGCATACCTGAGCCCAGAAGACCTCCTGAAAAGTGAAGTAGAAGAAAGTCAGAGAAAACTAGAAGTCGTTTCAGACACCTTGACTTTTTTTAAGCAGGTGTTTCAGAACAGAAGAGAGAATCTCCCTACTTATTTCAAAGAAAGCCAACAAGTCAAGGATTGGGATTTCCAGTCTTCCTTGGTCTTTGCACACCTGGACAGCTTCCTGGGACGGATGCACATGGTGGCGGTGAGTTTGCTGGCCCCCTGCCTGGCACAGGAGCAAGCCATATGGAGATTCACAATGTGGGAAAGGAAAATGAACAATGCAGTCTGGTGGCCAGAACTCATAGGAAGGGGTCCATCATTAGTTACTAGGAAATCACCAGTAACATAATGGTGGTTCTGTTAGTTCAGTGACATAAGCCAATCCCCAAAGGACAAATATCACCTGTTCTCTCTGTTAGAAGCCTTCATGCCAAATACAAAACAAATAGATATATAGCTGAACAAGTTTATACATGTGTTCTCATAGATGAACTGTAGAATGGAGACTAGCATACTAGGAAGTGAAGATTTGTTGTAGTAGGCAGCTCTACTCTTTAATAGAGGAATTCCCAGTGGAACAGTTAAATACACCTTGACAATATGATGCTAGATTTTCTGTTTCTGTGCCTACAATTCCATGATGTATTTAGATAGCATAATATTAAAGTTGCAATTATTATGAAAGGACTACACTACTGTAATAATATGGAGGGAAATGGTAAGAGGGGACAAAGGGAAGGGGTAAAGCATAGAGCAAGGGGCCATCCCTACATGCAAAAATGCATCATAGAAAATAACACAAATAATTTTTTTAAAGGAGTTTAGGAAATTGTGATCATAAACACATTTAGGAAGTGAGACCAGGGACTCAGCAAATAATTCATCCAACTTTCAAGTCTGCGCCATCTTTCAAGCCAACCATGAGTAAGAAGTCTGGTGTTGTTTCCAAACAACACCCAAAACTGGTTGGAAACATTGTTGTAGAACCACCCCCCCAAAACCGGTTCACTCACCCACAGTACAAAGTGCCAATCACCAACATCGGGTTGGTAAAGAATATATATATTGCAAGCAGAGCAAGGAGCTGGGCAGCTAATGCTTAATTCTAGGACTCCCGGAGGAGTTAGCAGGGAAGGTTCTTATAGGCAGTTATGGCTGAGAGGTGTGTACGTGCAAGGTTCTTAATTGTCAGCAATGCTATGATCCTTAGGGAATTTGTGATGACCTGGTTGCGGGAGTTACTAGATTGCAGTTACATGGTTTCCTTCTAGACAATACTGGCCATTAAGGTTCTTATCTTTGGGGAAGCAAATAACTGCTAGAGTCCAGGAATTTGAAACCTGCAAGGCCAGCTGGATCACTCCCTTAAGTCCGTGAATTCCTTTTGATAAAAGGCAGACAAGGCAGACCTTGTCTAAGAGAGACAGTCTATGACACCAGGGGCTAGCAGAATGGCCATGGATCTGGGCTATGCATTTATGTTATAGGGGTTCAGTTTCAGTGTGACAGTGGAAGTGAGCAGAGCTGGATGTGGCTGCCCATATGCAGATCTGCCTAATTTGAATTTTTCCCAAGTGTCCCCACTTTGTAGGTGGATCCCAAAACAAAAGAAGCACTGATTCTGCTCAAAGTTATTTCTTCTTTTCCATTATTTAAAATTAATGTGAACTTTAACTGCCTGGGTAAGGAGACATGAGACCTTTTCATTTGATTGTCTCAGTTCCCAGAATTTAGCATGGTTAATGGATGTTTTAACATTTTAACCCCATATATTTGCTGATAAGACTTTGTGGGGAAGGTGATAGACATAATAAAATAAAATATATCCTGGAGCCAGCATTGTGGTCCAGCAAGTTTACTGCTGTTTGCAATACCATGGTGTCATATGAGCACTGGTGAATGAGATCTAATTTTGGTGCAGCTCCCTGCTAATGTGCCTGGGAAAGTAACAGAAGATGACCTTCTGAGAGCTTGGGTCCCTACCACCCATGTGGGAGACCTGGATGGAATTCCATGCTCCTGGCTTCACCCTGCTCCAGATGAATATTCTATGCATAATTTCCAAAATAAATATATCTCTTCTTTCCATCTCCCATGAACTTTCTGAAGGACCATTGTATTAAATGTCATAATTAAGTAAAATTGATCTGTTGTTGAAAGCAAGAAAGAGGGGTACCTTAACCCCACGGGGCTCTGTGAAATAAGTAGGAAGCCCAAGAGGAAATCAGTTTTTAACAGAAGGAAGAATTTGCCATATATGCATGTGTGTATGTGTATGAGAGAGAGAGAGAGAGATGGAAGCCAGGTCTCAGGAAAGGCGCACCTTCGATACTTCATCAGGACCATGGGGAGTATGAATGATCCATATCCAGCTTTATCATAAATGCTTCCCTTTTCAGCATGGCTCAAGGCACAGCTTCTCCTCCTAATCTCAAACCCATACTTCTCTTCCACATTAACTCCATTGCCCTTGTTCACCCGGAGGTGTGAATGTCCCAACCTGTTCTTGGCCTGGGCTGGAATAATTGCCTTTCCCACCTGGCAGCTGTGACATTTTCAGGATGCCTAATCCACTGATGGCTCTCTGATGCCACCAGAGCACAACTCAAACAGCACGGCTTGGACTGAGTCCTCCAACCCCATGCTAATGATGTGACTTTGCCTATAGAGAGCTATTCTAACATTAGGGCACCTAGTCTACTGGACATAGTTAAGAAACACCAGAGCATAAATGGCCATCACCTCCCTTGGAGTCAGTACCGTCACAATAATCCTTTCCCAGGCTGCCTTCTCTTTCTGAATCGAGGCTACTGCTGCATAACAAATGAGTTGCCCCAGTTTAATTAGAGGATGAGGATGATGCCACTAGGTTCCCTATTTTTTTTGTGGCTTCCCCTCTTGTGAGCAGTGGTTTAACATCCTGGCTCCTGCGCACAGCTTCCCCACCACCTCTTCTCTTTTGTTGTCTGTCTCCCAAACATTTGCTCAGACTCACTGCCCTCTTGCCCTCTGCTGTTTTCGTCCTGCGCTATCTCCCCCTGCTCAGCTCAGTGCTGCAGGATGGGGAACAGACAAGAGATTGTCTTCTGGCATATTTCACATAACCTTTTCCTTCCCATTCTGTGTATGTCTGTGATCAATGCCTGTTTGAAATGGGATTAATCTGCTCCTTCCCAGCAAGAATGTGTGTGAGCTTAGTCTTCTGCATCATCTGTTCAGAGACAGTGTGTGACCATTGAGACGACAGTGAGAGGCACGCATGCAGGTGGCTGCCTGCCAGCTCCGAGGGTTTTATTGTGAAGGGATGGTTTGTAACCTCCAGGGTTCTCCCAACTTTCTGACCTTAGTAGTTCATTGTTGTTGGTGTTAACCTTTTGCGGTTTGGCCAAAGATCGTTCAAGTGACCAGATCCATTCTTCCCTTCTGGGTGTTTAGCCAGGTGACGGAGAATGGGTGCAGGCACTGCTGCTTGGGAGATGTGCGTGACTGTTGACTTTACAGCAGGGCTGTAGTACCTGGAGTGATATCACCATTCACCTCTTCCTCAAAGTAACCGTGGTGCAGCTCATGTCTTAGACAGAGAACCCCCTTGGCGAGAGGGGAGAAAACCAAGGAGCTAGCATGTTTTAAGAACCTATGTCATGCCATGACTTGTGTTGTAAGAACTGCTTATCAATACCTTACTTAAACCAAAAAGCACAACTGGAACTGACCTGGCTCAGAGAGGTGACTGAAGCCAGTATCTGGGGTGGGAGGTCCCAAGAATCGTCTCTTCACAAACTTTTCTATCTGCCGCGGAGCTGTAAAAGTCTATTTCCCTCCTTCTTTCTCTCCTTCCTTTCATTTTTCTTACTTCCCTTTCTTTCTTTTGCCTCCCCTTTCTTGCTCTTTCTTTCATTTTAAGGACTCCGAATCAGCTTTATGGGTTCATTCTCCCTGGTGTGTTCTATTCTGCCACCTATATGCCATAGGATTTCTGAGTCTCTTCACCTAAATAATATGTTATATAAAAGTGTGTGGGATGATGCTTCCTTTCCATGAAAAGTTCTTATTTCACCTGAGGACTTACTAAGGAAATCCCCAAAAATACCAAAGAAAAACTGAGTCATTCAGTTGCCTCTGGATCTCTTGTGTTGTGCTGCTCCCCTCCCCCATCAGTGTGTGCACACCTACACACACACACACACACACACACACACACACACACACACACACACACATTCATTTTTGTGTGACAGTGTTGTAGATTCTGCAGATCCCCTGTTGATGTTTCTGCCTGCAGCCTCTCGCCTGCAAACAATGCAGGAAGCATCTTGGAGAGAAACCTCATCTCTTTCATTACAAAATTGCTGTAAAGATGTGATTCACTTGGAGACAAAATGATGTCCTGCTGAGGCCGTGTGCGAAGTGATTAGTGGCAATATAGGTAAACCAGCTGACCTAAGACACACGGAGCTCCCTTCAGCTCCTTCCCCTGGCTCCAGCCCATCACCAGCCTCCTTTCATTCTGATCCTAATTGGGCCAGCTCCCCTCTTAGCCCGGCTCCAGCTCATGTTCGTGTAGGAGACCATTAGCTGCAGAAGGTCCGTGACAGTCGAAAGGTAAAGAAAACAGTCTTTTCTCCCAATGACCTTTTGAGATTTTCATCTATGAGTGTCTGCTTTGTGCTCACCCTTAATGAATTCTGAAGACATTTCTTTTAAGACGGAAGGCATAACCTGTCCTTGGAGAAAGGCATTGCTCCTGGTGGAGCTTGTCATTGTCCCTGATTCAATCTTCACTTCACAGACTAGAGTGAGACCGAATCACATCCTCACACTCCCACACCTGCCACCACCATTTAAATGTCACAGAGCTGTTTGTAACAATGGGACCCCAAACAGGCAGTCAGCTGCCAGGGACTTCAGTATGATTTGCAATCCCTGTCACCAAAGAAGTCTCTTTCAGGAGCTGAAATGTATGGAACATACACCAACTTCAAGATGGCCTTAGTTAAAGTAGCTACCATTTTCTGAAGTCCTGCCAGGGCTCTTTGCACATGACTTGATCAGCCCATAGCAAACTATCCAACTCCGGGATTGTTTTCTCTCATCCAGCTTTCCTTGTTTCACCAGCTGCTCTTTGGAAATCATGGTTAGGCCCTTTGTTGTCCACTTGTGAATGTTATTGCTAAGTCAGCACACAAGCGTGTGTTCACTCCACAAATGTCTGTTCAGCGGCAGGAGCTCTCCCAGACACTGCTAATGCCAGGCTTCCTTTTGGGGGCACTTGAGCCCTGTTGGAACAGGAAGTAAGCAAATGAGGCAATACGAGATCATATACTCCTCGTATGCTTTCGTTAAGTGCCTCAGTGAACATTGTGCTCATCTCTTTTAAAAGCTTTATTGTATTTATTTTGAAGACAGGGTGGGGGGGAGACACAGAAAGGGGGAGCTATCTTCCATGCACCGGCTCACTTCCCAAATGGCCACAATGACCAGGCCAAAGCCAGGAGCTTGGAGCTCTATTCATGCTTCCCACACGGGTGACAAAGGCCCAATTACTTGGCTCCTCATCTGCTGCCATCCCAGATGTGTTGGCTGAGATATGGGTTAGAAGCAGAGCAGCCAGAAGTCAAACCAGCACTCTGCTATGGGATGCCAACAACATGCCTCCTCAAATAATTTGCTATAACATGATAGGGTCATAAAAGCCTCAAAGAAAGCTAAAACAAAGGGGGAAGAAGACATCAAGGTTAAGACCGGGAGAGGACGTCCTTGAGGGAGGAGGATAGGGAAAGGCCCCAGACTTCAACTGAATTCCAAGTAGGTGTGTGGTTCGCCAAATGGTTACGAAGTTTGAGCAAACAGGCACATACTCATTGTTCTCACCAGCAGACTCTCCTTCCCCAGATAGAATAAGCACATTTTTCTCTACTTCTTGTGATTTACCTGTTAGATTGCAGATGACACACCTTCCAAGTGATCACCCAAGAGCATGCTTGCAGTATTCCGGAGAAATAAGGTAGTGAAATGGAATTAGCATCTCGCTTCCCGATATAATCACACGTATCCAGATGCATCTATATTTTAAAATGCTTAGAGCCTGTTTCTTACAAATTGAAATTGACATCCTCGGAATTGTGAGGCATGAGCGCTGAGGTTCCATTCCGTAGCACAAATACGTTTTCCTATAAAACCAGTCACAACTAAGCACCTTGTGCGAGACTTGCATTATGACAGCAGGCAATTCCATCTCTATAAAATTCATTTCCTTTCTCTTTCCAGTATCCCAGGCTGGAGGGTCTTGTGAAGTGTTGGCTGCTTGGTATCCCACTGTTTCTTTCTTCAGCCACTGTGCTTCATCTTCTCTCCCTCCCCTGTTTAGCCACTCGCTGCTGGCTACTCCCTCAAGGCTGAGAGATTGTTCGTTGGCTACCCAAGCCTGTATGGGTACTCCCCTGGCAAAGCTGAGGCAGACAGTCATTGCCCTCAACTTCTCAATGCCTCTGCCATGACTGCTGGACTCAGTGTCCCAGAAAGAGAAAGAAATGCTGACCGTGGCCATTGGCAGTGAGAATTTCCTGGCGCAGTATTAGGAACAGCTGGATTTTGGCACAGCACTGTCATCATGCACCCTGTTCTTGTCCTTCAGACCCCCAGGGTGGAAGAACCCCTTCCAAAGGTCCACAAGGGTAACCTTGACCTTCGTCTTTCCTGTTGAAGGTCATGTAATAGATCAGAGTTTACAACAGGGCACATACCTTGGTTTGGAGGTTTTGTGAATTTAGACAGAGACAGGCAGTCACAAAGGATACACTCAGGAGTATGTTAAGACATGCTCATGTGTCTCCTCTGTAATCAGACTTGAGCTAGCTTCCATGGACTAGGAGTTGGGGGCACCACCTCAAGACTGTGGGATGTGCTGTCCATCCGTCGTTAATCCTGAGCATAGCTAGGGCACTGACGAACCAACAACAGTGATGGTCATATGTGCATGCCATGTGTTTACTGCTCAAGTTAATACTAAATCTTAGATGTGTGACTCTTTTCTTAAAGATTTATTTTATTTTTATTGGAAAGCCAGATATATAGAAAAGAGGAGAGACAGAAAGATCTTGCATCCAATGATTCACTCCCCAAGCAGCTGCAACAACCAGAGCTGAGTCAGTCTGAAACCAGGAGCCCAGGAGCCTCTTCCAGGTCTCCCACATGAGCATGGGGTACCAAGGCTTTGGGCCATCCTTGACTGCTTTCCCAGGCCACCAGCAGGGAGCCGAATGGAAAGTAAGGCTGCCAGGATTAGAACCAGCACTTATATGGGATCCTGGGGCGGTCAAGGTGAGGACTTTAGCTGCTGGGCTACCACACAGGGCCCATAGGTTTCTGACTTTCTATCCCCTACTACTACACAATGGAATATTGTTATTATCCAAGCACAGACACATCCAGGGACAACCCCAAGCACTACACTGGCACCAGGGTATTCCAGACTCGGTGCACTTGGCAAAGGCGTGCTGCAGGAGATTCCACCCACACACACACACACTGGTAAAAATTGCTAAGAAGCCTAGTGTCACCCTCCAGGTTGAGTCTCAGGAGTATTTGAAGGGTCTGCTTTCCTACCCATGTCCCCTAAGAAAGCTATTTATTTAAAAGCAAAGTTATAAGCACACATGCAGGCAGGGGAAGAGAGAGAGAGAGAGAGAGAGAGAGAGAAGATCAATACATTAGTCAGTCCTCAAATGTTGCAATATCTAAGACTGGGCCAAGGCAGAAACCAATAGCCTGGAATTCCTGCTAGTCTCTCACTTGGGTGGCAGGAATTCTAGGCATTTGGGCCATTTGTGACTGCTTTCAGATGCCTTAGCAAGGCCTTAGATCACAAGTAAAATAACTAGGACTTAAACTAGCATTAAAAAAAAAAAACTGTTGTTTTAAAACTAAACAACTCAGCCTGTTTTAAAACTGATTCTTTAAATATCACTTGGATAGGCACTGATTGTGTATATAATCTTATTATTGTATTTCACTATTTACTAAGACAGAGAGAGGTTGAGGCATGCGTTTTACTTCTTTATTGCAATTAGTGTGAATTTTGTTTGCCTGTACTTTTCCCTCACTTTGCTGTTGAGTTTCACCAAGGGTTATTTATACCAACTCCATCTAATAATAAGGTTACAAAGCTAATCAGGCTTCACATTTTCCTAAGCAACCGCCACCCCCATATGATTTCCTGCTCCACTCAGCCACTGTTGTTATGATGATAATTATTATCATTTTAACTCTTTTTTTGCAAATTCTGTTTGTAGGATCTTCTGAAGACAGCCTTGGATTTCCACAAACTGGGAAAGCTTGAGTTCAGTGGCATCCGAGGGAATGCCCTGAGTCAGCTAGTGCAACAGATGTATGAGGAATTTCAGGAGATGTACAAGGTCTTCTCAGAGTCCTGCTATGACTGCTTGGATCCCCAAAACATGGTAAATCACAGCAGGGCCGAATCACCAGCTTTGTCTCTATGTAAGCCTTGGCCTGGAATTTTCCTTGTGCATTTCCAGTTGCTCTATGGTGTCCATGGCTTTGTCGCTTTTGATTTCTATCAAGAGTGTCCTTCTGTGTGTCAGAAGGTTCTAGGAGTGCCTCTCCCAAATTGTTATCTGCCCAGTACTAATGATGGATGGGCATGCAGGGTTTCCATCATGGTGAGATGGGTGTGGGAGGATGGAGGAGGTTGTAACCAGCCTAGAGCTTCCAAAGGTTTAAGCTAAGTATCATAAACCAGATATGACATGATAAACACTGCTTGATCTTGTTTAAATGGGAAGTCTAACACAGTCCAACTCAGAGCAGCAGATGGCAGATGTCCAGGATCTCGGGGGTGATGAAAATGAGAGGCATTGGCCACAGGAACTAAGTTCAGTTACACAAGGCAGAAAATTTGAGAGATCTGAGGTATAATTTGATGACAACAGTAAACAATACTGGACTTTAAACTGAAATTTACTAAGAATGTGTTTATTATTTATTATTCTATTTTATTTGAAAGGCAGAATCATAGAAAGAGGCAGAGACAGGGAGAGGGAGATCTTTGCAATCTGCCCGTTCATTTCATAAATGACCACAACAGCTGGAGGTAGGCCAAGCTGAAACCAGGAGCCAGAATCTCATCTGGGTTAAGGGTGTGAGTTCGTTTGCCATCATAAGCTGCTTTCCCAGGTGCATTGGTCTGGCGTTGGCTTAGAGGAAGAGCAGCCAGGACTCAAACTCAAGCTCAGCGCAGGCAGTAGAATCACAGTGCTGGTCCCTACAGTATAGATGGAAAGGGTTCTCATTACAAAAAAGGAAAAAAAAAAAAAAGAAAATGAAAGAAGAAAAAATGTAACTTTATGGAAGGCTATGGGATATGCTTATCAGCTCAGTTGTGGTGGTCCTTTCACAGTGTATACATTTATCAGAACATCAAATGTACACCTTCAACATGCAATTGTTTGTCAATTAAAACTCATTATAACTGTAAACAAAAAGCTTTAAGCTGCCATTTGGGACTGCCAAGTGAAGGCCAGGCATACCTGGGTAGAAGTTTATCAGCTTGACTTGTGGGGGTGAAGCTCTGGTCTATGCCATATGGAGGAAAGGCCAGAACTGTGTGTTCCCAGAATGGGATGAAGAATTCCCACCTCACTTGCAACCCCTTGAAAGCCATGACTTGGAAGTACAAACCCACAGGAATAAAAATAGAAAACAAAATAAAACATCAGTATGAAAAACATGTCAAGGACTTCCCTGAAAATAGAAAGGCAGATTCACTGGAGAAGACGTTTTAAGAAAATGAGAGAGAAAAAGAAGAAAGCAGAATGGGGCCAGGATTGTGGTGAAACGACCTAGGCTGCCACCGGTGACAGCTGCATTCCATGCTGGAAAACCAGTTTGAGCCCCGGCTGATTCATTTTCCATCCAGCTCGCAGCTCACTGCCAATGCAACTGGGAAAGCAGCAGATGATGACTCAAGTCCTTGAACACCTGTCACCCAAGTAGGAGACCAGAATGGAGTTCTAAGGCTCCTGGCTTCAGCCTAGACCAGCCCTGGCCAAGGCATCCATTTGGGGGAGTGATCCAGTGGATGGATTGTGAAATTTTTTCTTTCTTGCTCTCACTCGCTCTCCCCTGCTCTCTCTCTTCTGATAAATGAGTACATTAAAAAAAAGAAGAAGAAATTGTAGCAGGAATCTGCTCTGAGGACCTTCTGACATAATGGGAGGTCTTAAATGGCTAGACCCAAAGTGATAGCATGTTCTTAAAAGTCCATTAACAAAGAAAGTAGAAAACTAGAGCCTGTGCCATAGCATAACAGGCTAAGCCTCCACCTGTAGCACCAACATCCCATGCAGGTGCCAGTTCATATCCCGGCTGCTCCACTTCTGAACCAGCTCCCTGGTTATGGCCTGGGAAAGCAATGGAGTAAGTCCTTCCTGAATCCATGTGGAAGACCCAAAGATGTTTCTGGTTCCTTGATTCAGATAGCCCTAGTTCCTATCACTGCAGCCATTTGGGAAATGAACCAGCAGATGGAAGGTCTCTGTCTCTCCTGTATGTAATTCTTTCAAATGAAAATAAATGTCTTTATTTAAATAGAAAAATAAGGAGCGGTGGCTTTTTTTTAAAAAGCAAGATATATACTATGTATTTACTATAACATTACAAGATAAAACAGAACAAATCCCTAAGCATAAGAAATGCCATCCTTTCCCAAGTGGCTGGATTTGGGAAATAGAACGATTTCATAAAAAACACATTATTATTGTAGAGCAACAACAAGAAGTAATAATGATTCCACAAATTAAAGATTAGAGTTAACAAAATTCCCTGAAAATCACTTCACTCTACAGAAGAGGAACAGGGATGCCAGACCAAATAACAATGATCATGGCATTCTGATACTAAAGGAAGTCATTGTTTATCTGAAATTCTAACGTAACAGGGTGCCGCTGTGCTCTTATTGCCAACATTGAACAACCATAAAAAACTTGGCTAGTGGCTATCTAAACCCATTCAGGTGTACTGAAGATAAAGTTTGCATTATAATGTTTTAACTAACTTATGTTCTACCTGAGAGCTGGTTTCATTTTGTTACAATGGGGAAAAAAATGGGATTTTGATTTAGGGGAGAAGGAAAATTAGGTGGCCACTTTGGGAAAGCCCCATTTCTGGGCTGTTGCTAACAAGGTGTGGTTCAGGTCAGTTTTTAAGGTAGCATGAGCTGGCACTGGTGGGTGAGAGAGCAGTGATTTTAGGAGGTGGAAAAGCAGGCCACAGAAAAGGGGTTGAGATGACACCAGGCTTACATTTGGTTCAATGGCCATGATGCAAATAAAATCGCTGCAATAACAGGGTAACTCTCTAGGCAGATAAAAGAGTTAGTCATGGCACGGTGGATTTCAGAAAACTCAGGCAAAGTTGTTGTACATCCGAGGCAAATACAAGGGCTCTTTAGTGACTAGCACAGTGGGACTGACGTGAAGAAAGTCGTGTTTTACTTATGCACCTGTTGGCATCTTTTCAGGAATTTGAAACTGACATCTCCAAATTTAAGCAGAGAGTGGAAGACCTTGACCGAAGACTGGGGACTATCTTCATTCAAGCTTTTGATGATGCACCTGGATTGGAGCATGCTTTTAAGGTTTGTGCAGGCAGGACAAGGGCCACCTCTGAACTTAGACCCACCAAAGCCCCACAGGGGTACTTGCCCAACTGTCCTTTCCCTGCAAATTTTATCCTCTGTCAAGGAGAAAAGGATGTGAATGTCCTAAAGCAATGGCCAAATTATTTTCTCAGGATGATTACTTGGGCTTTTCTGAAAAAGTAAACATTGTAGGGCATGGTAAGCGAGCAGCTAAAGTCCTCACCTTGAACTTGCCGGGATCCCATATGGGTGCCGGTTCTAATCCTGGCTGCCCCACTTCCCATCCAGCTCCCTGCTTGTGGCTTGGAAAAGCAGTTGAAGATGGAGCAAAGCCTTGAGACCCTGCACCCACATGGGAAATCCAGCAGAGGCTCTGGTCTCCTGGCTTCAGATTGGCTCAGCTCCAACCATTGTGGCCACTTGGGGAGTGAATCAACGGATGGATGATCTTTCTGTCTCTCCTCCTCTCTGTATATCTGACTTTCCAATAAAAAAAATTTTAAAAAATAAAAAAGTGAACATTGTAAAAGTACCTATTATTTTATTTTTTGTTACTTGTTTAAGAGGCGGAGAAAGAGACAAAAAGAGCTCCCAACCACTGATTGATTCTCTAAATGACTGCAAAAGTCAAGGTTGGACTGAGCCAAACACGGGAGCCCAGAACTCCATCCAGATTGCCTGTGTGGGTGACAAGGGATTGAGATGACACTCATCAAAGAATCAGATGATTTTGTAATGTTCTATTAACAAAGGCAACAGAAGCTTAAAACCTTTTTCTCCTTCAGACAAAGCAGAGGCCTCCAATGCATATAAATTCAGCAAATAAGAGCTTGGTTTTTTGGTTGTTTTTTTTTTTTTTTTTGTATTTTCAGAATTTGGAAAATATGGGACTTTCAGAGAGGCAGAGAGGTCACCTGAATCCATACCAGTGCATCGTCTTCCCAACCACTTAATTAGATGGACTTGAGGAGACATGGCCAGTCAGGGTACACCCAGGTCAAAGCCTTGAATCCGACAGTACAGGCTGGCCAGAGTAGCCACTCAGCCCGAACCCTGCACTTTCCTAGGAGCAGGTGTGAGCCATGAACTCAGTAGAAAGTGCTGTTCTCCTGTACTTCCATTTGAGAAAGAGCCACTTTCTCCCACCTCCAAAGATCCTTTTTGGGAAGGAAAGGATGGTCCTGGATCCCTCCTTGGGCGGCTTTTAACGCTGTTAATAAGTCGTGAGAGAATGTTGGAGCCCAGCTCTCCCACCTGACCGCTATCTGAGGTGGGATCCCATGCAACAAGGAGACTCATAGCTTCCCAAAACCATCGCATATTCGAGCCTGGGCCCACCAGCTCCTGGGGCTTGTCCTCTTCCCCACTTTCTCCACGCTTTGAAATTCACTGAAACAAAAAAAGTGACGTGAAGAGTGCAATGCAAAATAAGGGCTAACCTAAAAAACGTGAAGTCTTAAATAGAAGCCATTCATCTTCTAGTTCTAGAACATGCGGCTGTAACTTTACAGCGTGCCTGTCATACTCATTAACCTAAAGCACGGGCAGGCTAACCTGTTTTCCTCAGCTGGACAGAGAATAAATATTCGAGGCTATGGACACATTGTCTGGTCTCAGTCACATATTCTTTTAAAACTCTGTGCTTACAATGTAAAAAGAAAAATTTGCATCATGACCACAGGACAGATTGGCACGTTTGGCCCACCCACAGGCTGTCCTTTGTCAGTGCCTGATCTGAGGCGCAAGATGGAGATGAGCGGTTACAGTGAAAGGCAAGTTGAGAAGCCATGTGCCGGTGTATACTAAATATAACTGAAGTCCTTCATGACCTAGTCTCAGGGCAGCATCGTAATCAAAAAACACAACAGTCCAGGAGCTAGCAGTAATTAAAAGCATTTCACATCTTGATTCTGCTGCTCCGGGAACCATCAGGAGGTTGGGGTAGTTGTCATGCACAGGGAACCGTCTGCAGAGCATCCCGCTCGCTGCTGATCACAGGGAGACTGCTCCCTCAAGCACGATTGTCTTGCCCTCCTTCTTCGGTTTCAGCTCTCTGAATTCTCCTCCACAGCGTCTGCTTTTATTTTGGTTTTTTGGGGTTTTTTTTTTTTCATTTTTCGTTTTCATCATCACCTTCCTCATGTTTCGGGTCTTCATTATGTAGATCGATTCAATCGTTCTGGCGTCTATAGGTTTTCTTTGTTTTACAATTTATCCACACTTAAACCAAAGGCAGCCCGATAGATTCCAGCAGACAGGAATCCTCGTGTAGAGGCCCAGGAAAAGTGACAAAACCATGAATATTCACATTTTATGCATTGTTGCTACGCCTCGCATTAATGACTGTCCCTCTCCTTCTCCCCTCACATAGGGGGAAAAAAGAACCTTAGAAAGTGTGACTTCTTTCTCTTCCTTCCCTCACAATAGCTGCTGGACATTGCAGGAAACCTGCTTGAGAGACCACTCGTTGCACAGGAAGCTTCTGGGAAATACCTGGTCCTCATTCAAATGTTCAGCAAAGACCTAGATGTGGTGCGAACCATCCACAGTGAGCATGTCCAAAAGGAGGCAGAGCTCGGTAGGTTTGTCGCCTGGGGATTTTAATGGGAGACTTTTCCTGCTGGGATGGGTGCAAACTCCCTCTTGTTGTGTTTGCTAAATGTCCATAGATAGACGCATGACATTCTCAAAGAAGAGCAAACCCAGCCTCGTTGCTTAAAATCCCAGACCATCGTGGGTGGTTGTAGAGCGTGCTGGGCCTGTGGATTCCCCGGCATCCAGAGGGCTGAGTTTGGCAAGCCAGCACCAGGGCAGCAAAGCCTTGACTGCCTCTGCTCGGCTGACACCTCGGTGCAGTGGACGAGTTGACCCTGGTTCAGTGTCGCCACACTGACTAGTCTTCCATAGACCTCGGTCCCACAATAGGTTTTTGCCTGCCTGAGAGAAGCTTCCCAGCACTCCCAGTGCCATAGCAACCGTGCTTCTCGTGGGAGAACCAGCAGGAGCCTGCCAAAGGGCAGTGGCAAGTGGAGGTGTGACATCTTCATTTTCATCACACTTCTTTGATGCCCTGCCTTAGTTTTTTTTTTGTGATAGAAATACTCAAATGCATTATATTTTTACTAATGTTTCTGAGTCCTTGTGTATATGCAAGGAATGCTTGTGAGCCACTGCATGAAGGGGTAAAATAATTCTAAATGGGAGTTGCTAACGGAATGTGAAGAGTGCTTCACTTCAGTTATGAAAAACCATGACAAAGCAAGATGAACTGTGGTTGGCAGAGGGTAATCTTAGCTCGGCCCTACAAGGAGAGAGGCTGACAACAAGGAAAAGGGGGGCAAAAACTCTGAAGCAAAGACAGGAGAAACTTGTGGAAGATCCTCAATCCACCACTCCCTGGACCCTAATGAGATGTGCTGAGTCAGATCAGCTGCAGAGTGTGGGATCCGGTGATGAAGTCCCCTCGATACAGCAATGAGGAATTTATTATTCAGACTGTGGGAATTTGCTCAAGGTGCATCAGTAGTCAGGTAATAGGATCACTGTGTTTACAAAAGATTTCAGAGGAAGGTCACTGAGAATTACTGCTGCTGAGAAAGGCATTCCCACAAAACTCCGTGACCTGTCCGGCAATACGTGGGGCTAGCTCCGTAACTCCTTCTAACCCGCTAACAGTGTCCGAGCCTCCAGAGGCCATGTTGGCTTTCCTCTGTTGTGTAATGAATGAACACAAAGTCAGACACTTAAACCAACACCCAACTTGGAACTGTGGGTCCTGTGTGGCATGACTGGGTACTCAGAGGACCATAAGGCTGATACTGAGGTGTTAGCCTGGTGGAGTCCACATGTTAAGGTCCTGGAGGGGAAATGTGCTTCCCAGCTCCTTCTTGTTGATAGAATCCAGTTTCCTGTGATTGTAAGAATGAGGTTCCAAGGCCTTGTCCAGTTGCAGTGGAGCTGCCACATCTTTAGGCTAGCAATGACAAGTTTAATTCTCTCATGCTTCCAATCTCAGACATCTTCCTTCTGTGACCAGCCAGAAGAAAGCACCTGCTTTTAAAAAGATATTTACTATTAAAGAAATATTTAATATGTATTGGGAAGGCAGATTTACACAGAGAAGGAGAAACAGAAAGATCTTCCGTCTGCTAACTGACTCCTCAAGTGACTGCAACGGCCAAAGCTGAGCTGATCTGAAGCCAGGAGCCAGGCTCTTCTTCCAGGTCTCCCACATGGGTACCAGGGTCCCAAGGCTTTGGGCCATCCTTGACTGCTTTCCTAGGCCACAAGCAGGGAGCTGGATGGGAAGTGGAGCAACTGGGACATGAACAGACATCCAGATCGGATTCTGGTGCATACAACGCAAGGATTTAACCACTGAGCCATCACACTGGTTCCAGCACCCTGCTTTTAAAGAGTCAGCTGATTGGGCCAGGGCCACCGTGGTTCCACTCTTTTTTTGCCTTTCCATATAACATGATCACAGGGTGACATGTCATCATAGCCACTGTTTCCGTCCATACTTTAGCCTGTCACAGATGATAGGCAGTCAATGGAAATAATGGGATCCAGTCCTTGTGAAGTAAAGGAGGGAGTCAGTCTTTAGCTCTTTTTGGATTTGGCACCAGAGAGTTGCCAACCTGCTAATTTTACCACAGAAAATATTCTTCTTTTTAAAGGAAATTTCACATTCCTTAAAGTTTAATGACTAATTACAAGCAAACATACCCGCTGTGTGGACTGAAATATGGTGTTCAGGCTGCACTGACTTCACTCAAGTGATTCACAATGCACATGGCCTACGTCATTTCTCACAGGCCTGAGATCTCACGGAAGCCCCGTTTGCTCATTGAAAAGGGAAGATAATCCTATTGTGTAAGTGCGGGAACTGAGGCCCAGAGTGATGGAGCTGTCTGTTGAAGACGGTGTTTCTGTGCCCTAACTGTACAATCAGGATCATCTTGAGATGAAAGTAGCCATCGCGGGTGGTATGCTTGGCCTAGCAGTCAAGATGCCACTTGAGATGCCCGCATCCCGGATATCAGAGTGCCTGGGTCGAAGTTCCAGCTCTACTGCAATTCCAGATTCCTGACAGTGCACATTCTGGGAAGCGATGGGTGATGGCTCAAGTTCTTGGCTCTCTATGAGCCATGAAGGAGACGTGGGTCAAGTTCCAAGTTCCTGGTCAAGCCCTGGCTTGTTGCAGACATTTCAGGAGTGAGGTATCAGATGGGATCTCTCTTTCTCTCTCTCTCTCCTCTCAATTCTCTAATTCTATCTCTTCTCTAATTCTATCTTTCTGATTTTAAAATTAAGAAAATAAACGCTTTTAGTAATAGTGAGGGTCTGGGCCAGATGCGGTAGCCTAGTGACTAAAGTCCTCACCTTGCATGTGTCAGGTTCCCATATGGGTGCCACTTGCATCCCAGCTGTTCCACTTCCCTCCCAGCTCCCTGCTTGTGGCCTGGGAAAGCAGTCGAGGATGGCCCAAAGCCTTGGGACCCTGTGCCCACACGGGAGACCCAGAGAATCTGCTGGCTTCAAATTACCTCATCACATGGGGAGTGAACCAGCAGGTAGAAGATCTTTCTGTGTATCTGTCTTTCTAATTAAAAAAATAAATGAAATAACTCTTTTAAATACAATGAGTCCTGAGGATGAGTCCTTCCTAGATCAATGAAGTCAGAACGCAGTGTGAGATCCCTTGGTGCAGTTCATATCCGCCCACAGTCCATAGTTCCTTCTCTTCACTAGAACACCAGGCTGTCCTCCCAGGAGCTCCTCAGTGTGAGTCCAGGGTGACGTCAGCCTGGGGTGGATGAGGAAGTGATTCCCAAGTCAATGGAAGAGGGAACTGGGCAGGTAAGCACAGCCTTGCCTCATCTCGGCTGTTGCCGCATCCCCAGGGTTCTCCTCCGTGCACAAGAACATGCCTGCCGTGGCCGGGGGCCTCCGCTGGGCACAGGACCTGAGGCAGCGCATCCAGGGTCCCTTCAGCAACTTCAGCCGCATCCTACATCCGTGAGTATCTTATTCCTAAAGGGCACGATTGTTCCCAGTCTGCCTTCTGACTGGCCTAACGCATGAAAACCAGCTGCATCTCTTTCCACATCCACCAGGGGACCAGGAGACTCCCACCCAAGCAGGAACCATGTTGGAACATTTGGACCAAGGAGCCGAGCCCTTTGGGTTGAGTGAGGCTTAAGGGGGACCACAAGCTGACTCCTTTAGCTCTCAGGGAACCTTGGCCACCAGGAAGGGATGTTTCCTGCCTCATGGTTCGAGGGTCTCCTGTGTTAGGGCACCAGGAGGCTCTTGTTAGAGACACAGCTTCTGAGGCCTCCCCTGCCACCTGTGGCATCTACGTGTGGGCTACTCCTGCAGTCCGCTTCTTCAGCAGACTCCTACAGGGATGCTGATGGGAACTGTCACCCAGTGTGTGGCCCCTGGGTCTTGGAACCGAGCCAGGGGCCTCTTGGCTGCCAGCAGTGGGAAGGGAGCCTTTCTCCGATTCCTCTTTCTAAAAGATTGGATGTTTGTTGAAGGCACCCAGCTTTTGAAGAATATACCAGACAATGGCATATGGATGTTTTGCATCCATAGGTGGTACCTGTCGAGGGCACAGCTCTAAATGCCTTCAGATGCCAAGAAAATGCATGAGCCCATGAGGCAAATGTCGTAAGACCCACCCCTAGCTTTACATATTGCCAAGCAGAAAAGCAAAAAGCAGTGCCACAACGAGCAGTCTCCTCCATATTAGAGAAAAGCTGAGGATGTGGATTTGAAACTCAGATGTCCAACTTCAGAACCAGCAAGGATTCAGCCTGTCCCTCTCTCTCTCTCTCTCTCTCTCTCTCTCTCCAGATTCACAGAGGCTTAACAAGGCCCTGTGGATCGGGTCTGCCTAGTGGGCAGCTGTCTGAACTGCCTGCAGCCTCTGCTCTGCCTGGCAAGCCTCAGTATTTCACAGGTGTAGAAAATGAGGCAGAGAGAGGTGAGGTGATGTGCACAAGGTCTGAGAGACAGCCGCTAAAGGACCGGAATGGGGCACCAGGCTTTCAGGGTCCGCAGCCCGGTGGCCTTCGCAGGGTTACCCTGCCGAAAGATGTTTGCCTGGCCTTTGTGTCACACGCACCAACCTGTCTTTGCCTGGGGCCCTTCCCTGGGAGGGGCGTGACGTTGGCAGAGAGGAGCACCCATGCTTCCTGTGCAGCTCATGCTGCTGGCCAAGCTTGGAGGGCACTCAGAGTGCCGAGTCCTCATGGCTGAGTTCCTTGGGGGTGGCGGGGGAGATGCCAGCAAGCCCTGTGGCTTTCTCTGCCAGCGCGAGGGCTCACGGGGAAGCTCAAGGGATCCTCTGTAGAATGCTGGTGTTGGTTTAAAGAGCAAATGGGCTTTACCGAGTCTTTGCCACACACCGCATGCTCTTGCCAGCAAGGCAGACACACAGCAGGCCCCCTTGTGTACGAATGTGAAGGTTTCTGAAAACTGAAGCTGCTTCCTCGTTTTCCCCCAGCAGCTGGACTTTTCATTAAGCAATGCCAGGGGCATCCGAACAGGAAACACGGCCACGGGTATCAGCTACTTGAGCCCGACTCTGCCCACTCTTCCTTCCGTGGCTCACTGCCGTCCTGCCATGCATGTGTGTGCGTGTGTGTGTGTGTGTGGTATACATGTGTGCATGCGTGTCTGTGTGCTTCATACGCACGCATCCTGGGAAAGTGAGAGGTGGCAAGACCCTCATGGACTCCAGGATAAAGAACAGCTGTCTCCCCGATCCCTGTGTCCCTGGTGGATTTGGGAAAGGGAGGAATGTCTTTGCATTTGCGCCCATGGTTAGCCTCCACGTTCCTGGGAACTGTTTCCTCAGACTCAACCAACAGAGAATCTGAAAAAGTATCTGAGAAAAACAAAATTACATCTACTGAACATGTGCAGACATTTTTCTCGTCATGATTCCCTAAACAATACAGTCTAACAACCGTTTGCATAGCACTGACCATGTAGAGCAGCAACGTGTTCCAGTCCCGTGGAAATCCGAAGCCATTTTAGGCACGGGGTTGAAGCACCCACAGATTTTGTGGAGTTCGGTCTCCTGCAGATATAGAAGACCTTGCCTAGTGTGTGTGGGCACAAACATTGTTATGTAATCTGTGTTTACATACATATGCATGAGTAAACATTGCATTACCATAGGCATGCAAACATGCATATGTGAATATGTAAATACACCAGTATACGCATATATACCGCTATTTAAATTGTACCTTTTAATTATTTTTATTCTTTTCCATGATTCAGTTTTGTAGGTACAGGGATTCTCGCTCTCTCCCTCTGATTCCCCCACCCCATATCATTACAGTAGTGTAGTCCTTTCGTAACAGTTACAAGCTTAACATTCTGCTGTTTAAGTATATCATGGCATCGCGGACTAGACAAAGGTAGAAATTCTTGTATCATATTGTGAACTGTTTCCCCGGGAGCTCTCCTTTTATTCGGGAGTAGAGATGACTACTGCAATATATCTTCACTTCCCAGTATGCTAGTCTCCATTATGCATACATACATTTCCATTTTATATACATATTTCCGCATGTGTAATGCTTATCTATGTATATATGTGCGTGTGTGTATATATATGTAGTGTGAGTGTGTGTGTTTGCATATAGCATTGGCAGTTTTTTTCTTAAATAGGGAAAATTATAGCGTATGAAATTTCTCTTTAATGCCTTCAGATTCTGGAGAGATCGTTGGCATGTGTGTGACCAGCTCAGCCAGGTGAGGGAGTTGATGGGATCCTGGGCAGGAAGGACGGTGCCATCCTGGTCACCTGTGGGGCTGCCTGCATTTCAGGCAGTGCCGACGCCCTCTACTGGCCACAGGGGGATGTGCAGCAGGAAGATCGCAGCTCATTTAGGGCCATTTGGAAAGCAGCCCAAGACTTGTTCAATCTCTTCTTCATAAGCCATAACTTGATTCCTCGGGCCCTAAATTTGACTTTTTCTGACTCCACATTTTTTTCCCTCCCATCTCTTGTGTATGGATACAGCTGCATGAAATCTGCCGAAGGAAAGAGGATGATACAAAAATACGAAGACACACTCTCCATGCTGGACAAGTAAGCAGCTTCCAGGACTGTATGGTTCTGCAATGTGTGTGCCTCTCCCTCCCTCCCCAACCCCTCCCCGCTCCCTCCCAGGCCTCCTGCTGCTGGGGGAGTGCGTAGATTCCCTGGCAGCTTGGACCTGCCCACTCGGTGCTTGGTGTAGATACCACAGCATGTGGAAGTATAGCACTTCACGGGGGGGATGGCGCACACAGGATCTGCGGAGATCACGGCTGTAGTCTAGAACCAAGCACCTGTCCAGCGTGGTTTTCCCCAAGAGCTGACTCCACAGAGCTGGAAAGAAACGGGCCTGTTACTGGCACCACTCAGAGATCGGCGTCGCAGAGACGCGCAGCAGCTGCTCGCCAAGCAGAGAACCGTGCACGGGCCACACTGCAGGAAGGAAGGCTAGGTTTGAAAAGTCCTCCCGAACATCTTTCGTGCAGACAACACACAAAAAAGCCACATTTTGGCTCCGTCCAAGCCAAGTAGACCTTTTTTGGGGGGGGTGGGACACAGGATCTCTAGAAGCAGCCCACAATCTCGCCATCTGGCCTGTCTCCTGGCTCAGGACAGGAACAGGCAGATGTTAGGATTAGGAGTATGGTTAGTGTTGTATCAGACTCTTCCGCTGGCAGCCCCTCTGTCTGCCCAATGAGCCAAACTTTACCCCTGAGACCTCACCTGCGACTTCATGTATATCTCCTCCTGCTGATCCTGACCACCGGCACCTGCCTGGGAGGCAGGACCCTCTGCAGCCCAAACCACTTGCAGCAGCTTCCTAACCCTCCTCCCTGGCTCCACATCAGTGCTTGCTGGTGCCTTCATGGTGACCAAAGCCCATCAAGGCTCTGTGTCCCCCAGCCGTTCCCTCATCTCCTCACAGTGGCAAGAAAAGCCCTCCCTTTCACCATGTCCAGCCTCCGAGACACTGTCCTCTTGTTGTTCCTTGCACACAACTGTGCAGTTTCCCACCTCTGCCTTGCAACCGTGCAGAACTCCCCCTGCAAATGCCCATTTCCCTTTCAGCATCCGAACCGCTCATCCTCGGAGACTCAGCCAAGCATCGCCTCCTCACCTCCCCCTGACATTTTCTTTGTGACCCTCCACTCCTCCACCTCTGTTGTTAGGCATCCAATGCCCTGCACGTTTCCCCAGGACTGAACTCGCTGCACTGTCTTGCGATGATCTGTTTATTTGGCTGCATTCACAATGAGGTATTGTTTTATCACCCAAGCCAGGCACATAGCGGGTGCTCCATCAGTATGGAATAACTGAATATCGAGTGCCCTTGAGTTTCATGAAGATTCAGTTGGGAGCGCATCTTATCCAGTCGCCTTTTCCAGTGTTTACAGAGACAAATAATAATGCTTCTTAGCCCCTTGCCAGGAAAGATTGTGCCATCTTTGATATAAGATAAGCCATTTGATATAAAATAAGCCATTTCTAGAAATCACCCGTTTGCTGAAGGGGCTTACCTCACCTTGGTGGATCAATGGCAAGTGGTGTCTTGGGTTCACACCATAGATTACAACCAAGGTGTGGAGTATCTGCGAGGGCACTTGTGGGATGACTGCCCTCTCTGGTCCTCACAGGTATGAGACAAGGCTCTATGAGGACTGGTGTCAGACAGTGTCAGAGAAGTCTCAGTACAATCTCTCCCAGCCACTTCTGAAACGAGACCCAGAGACAAAGCTCATGCTCGTCAACTTTAACCCGCAGGTCAGTTGGGCGGGGAGAACTTCCTTTTGGGTTCCTGGAAAGTTTATTTGAACTTTGCTGATTGCAAAAAGCAAAAGAGCTTTGTAAAGGAATGTGCAAAAGCTTCTCGAAAGAAATATCACCGTGGGCTTTTCTGGGGCATGAGTCCTGCCATGCAGTGTTTCCTTAAGTCGCTAGTATTCACGTTTTTCTGCAGGGCTAGTCAATGTGGTTACTTTTATTTGGCACCACAGGACATAATTGCAAAATGTCACTGGCCTTTGAATACCAATCGCAGCCCACTGGGCTTGCATTGGACAATTAACTACACATGAAAGTCTCTGGCTATTACACCAGAGAGCCAGGTCCATGAGTGGAAGACTTGGGTCCTGCCCATGAGGAGCCCACAACCTGGTCCGGAGCCTGTCTCTGAAAATCCAGAAATGCAGCTGTATCAGAGCTGACCTGTGACAAATCCCAAAGAAGTGGCTTGGAAACTCCAAGTCTACACTAGTGGCTTTCAACTGGGTGGGTTTTTTTTTTCCTGCCCTTTTGCTTAACTTAAAAGAGGTGCTAATATCATGTGGCGGATACCAGGGCAGTGTCAAACTTTCCACAACGCAGACTGTGTTGCCTTACAGTCAGTCTTTGCTAGTTTGGAGAGCCCTGCTCTAGATAACCAGAGGAGTGGAAGTGCCAGCCGCAGCCACCAGGGGAAGCTTCATGCTGGGGGAGGGGCTGGGGGACTCGGTGCTCAGGTGAAAGCATCTCCCGAAAGGCACTGGAGACAGACCTGAAAACCACACTGGCAACATATCGGTGTCTGTCTCTGGAGAAAACTGCAGTTAAGGAGAGCATCCATTCTCCTCCCGGCAAACCCAGTCAACAAAAGACTGAAACATCCTTGTCTCCAACTTGGGCAGCACTCAAGTCCACTTAACTCACTTAACTCCTTGGAAGTATTTTATCAACATCCGCCATGACTAGTATTGAATACTAGATGCCCAGATCTGGGTTGTGGATCACCGAGGAGGCCACAGTCACATTAGAACACAGTGATCAAGTTCTTAATGGGAGACACTGTTGACAATGGACCAGCCTCCTCTTCTGCCTCCGTATGTAGCACACGGTGGGTACCTGACAGGCGTATGCAGGTGACAGAAGGGAAAGGAGAGTGCAGGAAGAAGAGAGGGCAAATAGCCAGCTACCTGGGCATGAGTTCATGGAGGACTACTGCAAGGACAGTAAGTCAAAGATGAGCTGCCCTCAGTGCTTGACATCCAGTATCAAATAATATGGCCATCTCAGTGTTGCTAATATTCAGAATGCACAGTAACACATTCCTCAGGGACCCGGCCACAGATTTGTCTCTGCAGGAACAGGACAAGAATCCTACAGGCTCAGGTTTTTTTTAATTGGTGTGAATTATTTACTCAAATTATTTTACATATCCCATTTAGTGAATTTCCATTTCTTTGCAGGTTTACCAGTCTGTATTTCACTAACTCTAGGATGCATATTTTTCATATTTGCATCTCTGAAATTGGTATGTGTTTATAGTTTAATAACCACATATTTTTTTTCCTTTATCCCTTAGCTGGACATAAATTAATAGTGAGTCTTACAATTGATGACATCTTAAATTAGATGAAGCATGGCACAAATAATAATGTTGCATCCATTCTTGATTATTTCATTAGGGTAAATATCCAAAGGTGCAATTTCAGAGCTAAATGATATTCAGATCTTGAGACTTTTATGCACGCCGTCGAATTGTTATTCAGAAAGATAGAATTCAGCCATCCTCCTAGTCACAACATACCCTGCATTTCTTTGAATAATTTCTCACCCGTAGAAACAAGAAAAAAAAATCAATGCTCTTTCTATCTGAATATTTTTATTTTCTATTCAACTGTAAATTTTGTTTTAACTTGCATTTATTTGAGTAATAGTGACTACTGGTAAACTTGAACTTCATTCTTCCTCTATGAGTTCCTTATTTATTTTTTCCTTTTGTTCATTTTCTGCTAGAAGAGCCTTCTTTGCCTGTGAAACTGTCAGAATATTTCTCAGCTGCTTAAAGATCTTCTTCCAACATGTTGATGTTTGTCGACTTATCAGACGTATGGTGTTCCTGGGCTCCTGCCGCCAACATGGGAGACCCTGGTTGAGATCCCAGTTCCATCTTTGGCCAGGTCTAGCTCTGGTATATTGGCAGCCTTTGGGAGTCATGTGACATCTCTGTTCCCATCTCTGCCTCTGTCTCTCTTTCAAGTAAATTAGATAAATAAGTCTCCAGAAACTTAAAGGAAATTGTGAGATGATCTAACAGACACCTGTGCTCCATCTTCAGTATATGTAACCTTGTCTAGCAGAAATACCTGAAGTCTACACTTGGAGCTTCTCAGGAATAAGGGCGATCCTAGATGGTTAATCCACCTGCTTTCTCTCTCTCTCTCTCTCTCTCTCTCTCTCTGTCTCTTTCTCTCTTTAAGTGTTTATTTTTGATGATGATTACATGGTTGATCAGGGTGGGAAGAATGGAGGGCTAGGGAAAAGTGAGTGAAATCATTGTTTCCAAATTTTGTATTCCCTCTCTGTGGGAAGGGGGGAGTTAAAACAGGAAGCCATACTCAGCCTTCCAAATGTCCCAGTAACCAGGGAACTGTCACCCGATATCAACCCCGGGTCCCAATGTGGTGCATGTTCCAAGGGTTCTGACCAAGTGTTTTGGATAGTTCTGAAATGCTGTCAGTTTTGCTGATCCAAGAGTGAGGCAGCCCTCCCAATGTCCATTGGCTAACACAGTCAACCTCAAGTCTCCATTCACCCAGATTTTTGCTGTCATCATTTGCTGGGGTAGTTGTCTAATTTGCTCTGTTCTCCGTCCTCTGCTATGGTACCAAATGGGCTGCCATATTCTCCATGTGCATCAAGGTCTGCATCTACTGCTCTGCCTTTTTCACTCGCAGACAGACCCAAGGACCAGGGCCAGGTGACCTGAGTCCTGCCAGGTCCCTTGCCCCTGGGGTTCACGAACCCAGCATCCACCTAACAGGCAGGCCCCAGGACCCAGGCCAGATGGCCCAAGCTTTGCCAAATCCACACCCGGGGCTCACAACTTGGCATCCACTGACACCAGGCTGGCATGACTCACCTCACCTCAGCATCCATTATTGCATGGCACAACCTGGCTCAGTCCAGCTGCTGCTGGTGTGTGCTATACCATGTCCTGGTTCTCCTATCTGCCAGCAGATGTTATAAAGTCGCCCAGCCTAGTCTGTATCCAGACCTGACCCACATGTATGCCAGTGGGTACTGTAGCTTGGCATGGTCTGGGCTGCTCTTGCCTTGGTTCTTGCACTTGCCTGCAGGGACTGTGTCCCAGTGAAGGAGTTTCCCAAGCTCCTCTGCCGGGTCTCCTCCCAGTGACAGTTCTCACTTACACCAGTGGGTCCTTGGCCCAGGTTGACTTTGTGCCCCTCTCAGAAACAGTGGCCTTGCTCAACCAGCCCACACCCATTCTGGCTGTTACTGTTAGGTGTTGCAGCCCAGCCATGCCTGGTCCACACTCAGACAAAGCTTTCATGTGGTTCAGCAGCAGTCAAGACCTAGCCTGGCCCATTCTACACCCACCCTGGCACTCATGAATACCAGTGGCTGCGAGAGTATAACCCAGTCTGTCGTTCCCCAGACCCAGTCCACACCTTCACCAAGGGAGGCTGTATCCATGTCCAGTCCAGCCTACTACTCTCAGTCCATCTCTTGTGCCCATCAGGGGTAACCCTAACCCAGCTGGGGTGTTCCCTTAGACCTCCAGCCAGGCCTGTTCCCTTGCACAGTTCTTGGGTGTGCCAGAGGAGATTGCAGTTCCACAGGCATGAGCTGACATATCCCCCCACAGATTCCACCACCAGACCCGATTCTCTGATGTGCTAGTTATTATCAGGGTCCATCCTAACTTCACTTTTCTCCTGCTCTCTCTCACTGGTGGATATGTGATCTTGCCCTGTCAGATAGGCCCAAGCCAAGCCATGGCTTTAGTGGGTACCAGTGAGTGGTGCTCAGTGATGGTCAATGCCAACTACCCCAGCTCAGGTTTCCCACATGTGTTTGTGCTTCGGACTACCCTTTAAAGGTCTTCCCATTCCCTCTCCGACCTGCTCAGTCTCAGCACCCTTGCTTACCTGAGGGCATAGTGGCCTTGTCCATGGATGTCCCTCAGTAATCATTCCTCTCCTGGACATGAATCCTGAGGTCCCTGCTCAGAGTCACTTGTGCTGTAGCGCATGCCCCATGTAAGCCCACATGCCAGCTGGGTTGAGGCAAGAAAACCACAAGCAAGCTTCCTGAAGTTGCCCACTGCTCCCTGCCGAGCAAGTGGAATCAAGATGACTCCAGGAGGACACAATCCGCCTCCTTTCAAACCGGTGGTGGGAATGGCTCAGCCGGCATTGGCCTGTCTCTGCAGCAGCATGGAAGACAGAGCTCTCTCCATTCGTCACCGGCATCTCCTCTCCCCGTTTCTTGTTGCCCGTTGGCTGGAATGCACAGACGTGTTGAACCCTTGCTGCTTGCTGACATAACTTCCTTCTGCTTGTTTTTTGCCCCTGTGAGACTGGATTTAAGCGCACCCCAGCCACAGCTCCTGGTGTTCATTCCTCCCTGCAGCTGACTTCAGTGCTGAAGGAAATGAGCTATCTGCAGCCCAGGCAGATGAGGCCCATCCCGGAGACGGCAGCAGCCATGTTCTCCTCCAGGGAGTTTTATCGGCAGCTCGTGGCTCATTTGGAGCTAATGACCAATTGGTACAACAAGGTTATGAAGACCCTGCTAGACGTGGAATTTCCACTAGTGGAGCAAGAGTTGCAAAATATCGATCTCCGCCTGAGAGCAGCAGAGGAGACTCTGAACTGGAAAACAGAAGGTAACAGGGCACCACCTGGAGTGTGACAGAAATGCTGAGATTCAAGATTTAATCATGTTCACAGAACCTCAAATTAGTCCCTGGAAATCAGATTTGCGTTTGAAAATCTTTCCCTCAAACACTCATTCAAGTAGGGAGAAGGCGAGAGGTTTCCTCTTTGTCCTCTTCTGTGCACATGATGGGCAGATTTTTAGAAAGCGTTGTTGTCCTGCATTTCAGGAGGTTCAGAGCTTGCGTAAAATGTCCCCAAGTCTCCAGCTTGTGCTAGGCACTCACGAATGAGAGCTCTTCCTGCATCGTCATTACTATTTAACTCTCTTTAACTAGACAGCAAACTTCCTGAAAGAGGAAGCCATTTGTTTATTTCCCTTGGCGACCCCCAATTTAATGAATGTTATATCAGGTAGCAAATGTAGGGTATTATCTGAAAGACTGCAGGGAGAAAAACACGAGGTACAGGAGATGTGTTCCCTGCAGACAAGGAGCTCACGCGAATGGAGGTGACAGACATGTGTATAACTGAAATGTGTGATGGCCACAAGAAACCATCCTAAAGCATGATGAATCACGGGGGCTGAGGGCCTAGATGGACTTGGATTAGAAGAGCTCACATTAGAAAAGGAGGTCAAAGGCATGGAAGTCTTGGAATGCAGTTGTAAACAAGCGAGAACTTTATATACAGCAACTATACTTTAGATATAGCAGCTATACCATCGTGCGCTTCGGGCAGCTGCGTGTCACGTCTTTGTTTCTCCTCCTCCACAACAGGATTGTGATTAAAGTTGGCTTTTTAATATAAATAGGAAGGAAACTGTTCCAAGGGTAATGAAATAAATCTGTGCAAAAAAGTTTTTTGAGACCCATAAGTGTTAAAAGCTCTATTTTTCCTCGCAACTAGCCCATTAGCCGTGCCACTGCAAGCGCTTTGAATTAATTGTGTTTCTTTTGGCGAGCAGGCATTTGGGATTATGTCATTCAAGTTACCAACAGTATCCATGATCTTGAGCGACGAATTCAGAAGACTAAAGACAACGTGGAGGAGATTGAAAGCATCGTGAAAACGTGGGTGACTCCAATATTTAAGAGAAAAGATGGGAAAAAGGAAAGTCTGCTTTCTCTGGAGGATCAACACGATCGAATGGAAAAATACTACAACCTTATCGAAGAATCTGGCCTTAAGATTCACGCTCTTGTTCGGGTAAGAATGATCCTCACAGTATGAATATGGGGAAACCGTGAAGACGTGTGTTTGGGTGCGAGAAGTGATATATAAATTGCAGTGATCAATATATGTCATGTCATCTGCAATCGATGATAGAAATTAATGCTGATAGCGAAAGAAAAAAAGAACTAACAGGGAGAATGAAAAGCCACATCGTGATATCGTTGTATCAAAATCTGAAAAGTGGCATCTAGTTGTGTACTTAACCCCAAGGATGTAGAGGGAGATGCCAGGGGCAGAATCCTAAATGACTCCCTATACGAATTGTCGCATCTGCAGCTGACCCCCACAGTCTGTAGTGTGGTCTTCTGGTGTCATCCCTATAAGCTAGTGCTATACAACCTGAAGAAGTGAATGATATCCGCAGAATTCCTAACCGCATTTGATAAGAGAAGTACAGCATGTTGCACTTCACAGTATTTCGCCCCGTGTTAGGGTGAGGGCAGTGTCGGATAGGTTGACTCATGCTAAAAGTCAGGAATGAATCGTACTGTGGATTGTCCGTGTTCTGAACACACCCAAAAGCTAGGAAGCCTGAAGCAATAATGATGACCAGAGTTAGGTAAAGGAGACAGTTGCTCAAATTTTGGCCTTGAGAGATAGTTTTTCAAATTGATTTGTTTTTCTTAAGCCCTTCTGGAACCATATTCAGTGCTTTTCATTCACCTGTAAACTGTTTCCACAACTGTCCTAGGCACTATATATTGAATGTCAAGTACATATGATGCAGTCCCTGCTTGGAAGTAGAAGAAAACAAACAGGCAAAACCAAGAAATTGCTTCTTATTTTAAGTTTGAAAGCTGTATGGATGCATACTTGCACTCCCCTATCATCTCTCATCAGCCTATCTGCCTACATCTATTAATGACACATGTTCAAGTCTGTGCTTTTGGAAGTCAGAGAAACAGAATAGTTTAGAGAATTAACTGACCTAATCTGTGAGATAAGCACAGCAGCCTATATCTCTCTCTATATATATTCCCAATATGTATTTTATATAATATATAGCATATAAAATGTTATATATGTGTGATATATATGTGTGTATATATATATTTAATTTAAATTTTCTAGAGGTCAGCCTGAAAATAACTATAAATGGCCTCAAGCCAAACTAGTTGTTGCAGAAGTTACTTTAGAAACTCACGCATTAATAATTCCTGTGCCAGCAAACCAGGAAGTCTGATTGCTATTTTTACCACATGTGAAACACTAAACTAGGCACTGCGTGTATCATTTCATTTCATCTTCATGCATTCTTCTCTTTTGATGTGGTTTCTTTTTGTGAGCAAACAAAGGGACAGCTTAAATTCATTACCTATAGCCATCTTGCTAATGAGAAATGTTGGCTTACAACAAGTACACATTTACCCAATATGTTAATACTCAATCTCCAGTGAGCTAGGAGGGCCCTTTAAGACTTGGTAAGACTTGGTAATTAAGCCTTAAATGACTTTCATATTTTGATAATTGAATTCTCTTAGAGTAGAAGCTGCTAAATAGCAACTTCTTGAAAAGGGAGAGGTTTTATATTTTTTCTGCTCATTGGCACATAGCAGGTGCTGTATAAATGCTGAATGAAATAGTTGAATACTTACTTTTGATGCTTCTCTATTCAAATAGATATAGTTTTACAGAAGGCCATAGTTCCATAACTTGATTCTTAAAATTTGTAACCGTGTCATTAGTTTTCTTCTTACAGTATCCTGCAAAATGTGTCATTGTATGGCTACATCATGATTTGAATAATTCATCCTGTTACTGGACATTCATAGAGGACAAGTTGTATATTTACTAAAGTTGTGGCATAGCATACCCATGCAGTACATGGAGTTCAGTTGGTTTTAGCAAGTATTTACAACTACCACAAAAAGGAGTATTGCCGTAACCCTAGAAAGTCTACCTTTTCAGTTGCAATGTTCTCCATCCTCTCACCTCCCCATCAATCACCAGTTAACTTTTTGTCACCATAGTACATCTACTGAATCTGAGTATCATACAAATGAAATAATGCAGCATATACCCTTTTTGCAGCAAGTATTAAGGGCTCAAGATTCAGCCATATTATTGCACATATTAATTAAGAGCATGAATACTAATGTACTTCAAAAAGTTCCTAGGAAGCGGACTGGAATGATAAGTTTACCTTGGTTCTTAGAAAAAAAAAAACTTTAAATACTTGAAGAGTTTTTTTCATAAGGCACATTTTTTATGAACTTTTGGAAGATCACTACTATAAAAGAGGTTGTTCATCCAACCCCCCAATGATACACTTTGACGTATTGATAGAGTTTGACTATTGTAATTGAAACCCCTATGTACAGTCTTAAATAAACTGTTCTTTTGTTTTTTATTATTTTCCATGATGCAGTTTTATAGGTATAGGGATTTCCCCTTTCCCTCCCTCTTCTCCCTTCCCATGTTCCCCTCCCACCATCTCCCCCCATATTACTACAATACTTTAGCCCTTTTTCAACAGTTAAAAGTTTAACATTCTGCTACTTAGGTATATAATGGCCTTGTAGTCATAGAAAAGATAAAGAATCTTGTATCATAATGTCAAGGCATATTTAATTGTGTCTCTGGGAGTCCTCCTTTTATTTGGAAGATGCCTACTGCAATGGATTTTCACTTCCCGGTGTGCTAGCCTCCATTATGCAGTTCATTCTACAGGCATATGTTTTCATTGCTTTTGAGAATTGCAGGATCATAGGGAGGCACTCGCTTCACATTGTAAGTAATTTCCAGCAATTCTTCAAAGCAGTTGTGTGATTTTACACTTGAGTTGACAGAGCGATAAAGTGTATTCCACCTCCTCACCAAATTATCTTTTTAAATTTTTACCACCTTGGTGTGTAGCACTAGCTCACTGAAATTTTAGTTTGTACATTTTTTTCTGAAGGCTTGTATGCATGTTGAATACATTTTGTGTGTTGATTAGCCAGTAGCATGGAGTTCAGCCTATGCTAGGCATGTGGGTTATGAGTATTTTCTTGAAGTCTGTGACTTGTCTGTTTTCTTAGTGATGTATTTCTGTGAGAAACAGTTTTAGATTTTGAGGAAATCTAATTCATCCTTTTTCTCATATATTTAATACTTTTGGGTCCTATCTAAGGAACCGGCCTACCCTAAGTTTGCAAATACTCCTTTGTATATTTGTTTACAAGCTTTATAATGTGTATATATGTATGTATGTCTGTATATACAGTTTAACACATATAGTACATGTTATACTGTATATTCTACTGAGTATTATGTATTGTGTATAGCACATACTATATATTATATCACACTAAAATTATAAACTATAACTATGTATTTTATATAATATAGAGCATCTATACATAAATATATAGACACATTACATTCAGGGGTAAATATATATAGGATTGCAGTCTGTCCTTTTAAAAACACGACACACAGTAAGTGCACAAGTTTATGGGGTACAATATGCTGCTTCAATGCACCTATACCTTGTTTAATAATCAAATCAGGGTAATTAACATATCCATCCCCTCAAACATGTGTCATTTCTTTGTGTTGATAGCACTCCAGATCTACCTAACTTAGGCAAAAAAGAAATTGTCCAAAGGTGATGGGGTAGCTTGCAGAGTCAGAAGTGACTCAGGCTTCTAGGTGGCTAGAAGTGAGGGAACAGGGAGTGCTTATGGAATCAGGTGCAGTGCCATCCTCTGGGGCAGTGAGCAGGTTTGAAACTGATGAGCGGTGATTGCTGCACGGAGCAGTGAATGTCACTGAATGGCTCGCTTCAGAATGGTTAATTGAATATTATGTGAATTTCACCTCAATACATTTTTTTTGAAAATTTGTAACACATTATGATCACCCCACTGTGTAACAGAACACAGGATTAGTCCTCCAAAATTACTGTAACATGGTGCCCACTGACTTCTCTTTTCATCTCCTCTTCTGCACTGTCCCCTCTCTGTCTTAAATGAAATCAATGTTTCCTGTAGTCATGTCCTATTATTCCTATACTGTTTTTAGAAAAATGTTGGCAACCTTGTTAAAATCAATAATACCAATAAATGAAATACATAATATTATCGTGTATATATAAGATAACAACATAAAATGTGTACAGTATAAAATACCAACATTAGGGCCTGGAATAATGGTTCAAACGACTTATCCTTCCCTTCAAGTGCCGGGATCACATTTAGGCACCAATTCCTGTCCTGGCTTCTCCACTTCCCATCCAGCTCCCCGCTTATGACCTAGGACAGCAAAAGAGGGTGGTTCAAAGGCTTGGGATCCTGTGCCCGTGTGGGAGACCTGGAAGAAGCTCCTGGCTCCTGGCTTCGTTTCAGCTCAGCTTTTGCCATTTAGCCAGTTGAGGAGTGAGTCAGTGAATGGAAGCTCTTTCTCTCCGGGTCTCCTTTGCTCTGCAAACATGCCTTCTCAATGAAAATAAACAAATCTTAAAAAAAAAATAGCAACACTGGCTTTTCTTGATTCTGGTAGCATTAATGGGTCTTGAAATTAGGTGCTATAAGCCCTCCCACTTACTTTCTGTTTTTCAAGAATGTTACAACCATAGTTAGTCATTTGCATATCTACTTAAATCCTACATTCATCTTAACAACTTCTGGAAAAAAAAGAGCTAGGTGCAATTTTTTAAAAGATTTATTTATTTTGATTGGAAATACAGATTTAAAGAGAGAAACAGAGACAGATCTTTTATCCACTGGTTCAGTCCCCAGTTGATCACAACAGCTGGAGCCAAGCTGATCTGAAACCAGGAAACCACACAGGTACAGAGTCCCAGGGCTTTGAATCGTCCTCCATTGCTTTCCCAAGCCACAAGAAGAGAGTTGGACGGAAAGTGGAGCAGCTGGGACACTAACTGGCATCCATATGGGATCCCAGCTTATGCAGGTAGAGGATTAACCGGTTGAGCCATTGCATCTGTACCACTAGGAATGATTTTTATTGCTATTGAATTATCTGCTGAT